TCGATACAGGGGAGGTGTGTGTAAATGAAATTTTAAGGGATGACGTCTTTCTGGATAGGTAACAATCTAGTACAGGTGGAACAGTTCGCCTGCCCGTTTGAAGGGGTGAAAAAAATTAAAATATCATTCCGCGGCTGGAAATTTTCGAACTCGATAACTCGGTACAGGGGAGGTGTGTGTAAAAGAAATTTTAAGGGATGGCGTCTTTCTGGATGGGTAATAACCTAGTATAGATGAAACAGTTCGCCTGCCCGTTTGAAGGGGTGAAAAAAAAAATATGATTCCGTCGATGGAAATTTCCGAACTCGATAACTCGGTACAGGGGAGGTGTGTGTAAATGAAATTTTAAGGGATGGCGTCTTTCTGGATCGGTAATAACCTTGTATAGGTGAAACAGTTCGCCTGCCCGTTTGAAGGGGTGGAAAAAAAAATAAAATGTGATTCCGTGGATGGAAACTTTCGAACTCGATAACTCGGTACAGGGGTGGTGTGCGTAAATTAAATTTTAAGGGATGACGTCTTTCTGGATGGGTAACAACCTAGTATAGGTGGAACAGTTCGCCTGCCCGTTTGAGGGGGTGAAAAAAATTAAAATATCATTCCGTGGCTGGAAATTTTCGAACTCGATAACTCGGTACAGGGGTGGTGTGTNTCCACGGAATAATATTTTAATTTTTTTCACCCCTTCAAACGGGCAGGCGAACTGTTTCACCCATACTAGGTAATTACCCAACCAGAAAGACGTCATTCCCTAAACTTTCATTTATACACACCACCCTGTACCGAGTTATCGAGTTCGAAAATTTCCAGACACGGAATGATATTTTAATTTTTTTCACGCCCTCAAACGGGCTGGCGAACTGTTCCACCTATACTAGGTTGTTACCCATCCAGAAAGACGTCATCCCTTAAAATTTCATTTACACACACTTCCCCTGTACCGAGTTATCAAGTTCGAAAATTTCCATCCACGGAATCATATTTCAAATTTTTTCACCCCCTCAAACGGGCAGGCGAACATCATCCCTTCTATCCCTCATGAAAATACACTTTAATTATATCACTTTTAATTGTTATAAGCATATTTGTATCATCGCCGGCCAAGTGTCTTAAGTGTAGATATGGATGACTCTGTTACACAGAATGTCGATTTGCCGCACACCTGAAATGGTATATCAGATACTCTATCTCAAAAGTAGTTTACCCCACGTCATAATTTGTGGATGGAAATGTGTGGATAACTTCACACAAACCCTAACAGTAATGAATTCGCTGAACAAAATTTTCTAGCGAATCTAAAAGGGTGTTGGATGGAATAGTGGAAATTTCATGCGTTATCCTTCCCTGCAACTCTTCGTTATTTTGCGGCCTATTTTTGTAAACTACATTTTTTATGTGATCCCACAGAAAAAATTCAAGCGAGATCATATCGGGAGACCTAGTTGGCCATTCAATCTTTGCGTCCAATCCATTTATTAGCAAAAATTTCATTTAGATATGCCAATACCACACGTCCAAAATGTGGAGGAGCCCCATTATGTTGAAATTATATTTGTTTTGCCAATAAATTGGGATTGTTTTCGGGAATAATCTTCTAAGCTCTTGAATAACATGTTTCAGAGGTCAAATTTCCGTTTATAAAATAGGATCCTATGACGTGTGCGCCAATAATGCCACACCAAACATTTACTTTCTGTGGTCGTTGGGTGTGAACTTCCTCCATCCAATGTGGATTTTGGTCTGACCAATACCTACAGCTGTGTTGGTTTACGTGCTCATTTAAACAAAATGGAGATTTATCAAAAAACAATATGTGGATGACAAAGTTAACATTTTCGTTTAATTTATCCATAATAACTTCGCAGAACTCGATTTTACGATCCTAATCGTCTTCACTCAATTCTATTAACAAATGAATTTTATATGGATATAATTTTTCCCGTTTGCAAATTTTTTCATTGGAATATCGACTCATTTTATGATTTAAAGCACTCTGTTGTGTCGAATTTATTGGATTTTCCACCACATCTAAAATAACATTCAAAGAAGTTTCTTCATTTGTAACGCTTACTGGTTTTCCACTATTTCGTCGGTCTGGAGCACCTTCAGTTTCATGAAAACTACGATGTTTTTGAAAGGGTTGATAGCATTCATAATACCACATGATGTGCTATATACAGGGTGAGTCATTAATAATGGTACACAGCTTAATGGCATATTGTTAACGTCAAAATATAGTGATTGAGCCAAACATGCCTTAATCAATTATTGCTTCTTTTCGTTCTACAGGGTGTTAAAGTTGAAAAAATATTTTCCTTTTTCTATACTTGGTATGTATGGACCGATTGTTTCGAAAATTTTAAGTTTTTGAGATTCGGCGAGAATTAAATTAGAAAATTAGCAGGTCTTAAGATACCAAGCCTGAATTAAGAATTAAGACAAACATTACAGCAATTAAAGACTTTATTATGCATATCTTAACAAATTATTAACTACCAGCAACTTCAATGCACTTTCTTAGCCTTTTATTAAGATATTCTCTTCTCTAAAAAATAACGACAAGGAAAAAACTACTTCTTAATCAAATTGAGTAGAAAACAATATGGTATTGTAGTGACAGCTGTCAATTTATTATGTCCATGCCTACTAATTTGGAAAAAAATAATTTTCTAATTTAATTCCCGACGAATCTCAAAAACTTAAAATGTCTGTATCTCGAAAGCAGTTGAGTTTATCGATTTGTAACAAGCATACCTTTTTTATTTAGAATTTAACGTAGTTCAACAATTTCTAGTTAAAAAAATTCAAAATTGTAAAATATAAAAAGTTAGACATATTTTTACATTGACACGACAGTACAACTAGCACCCCCTATACGTGACCCCAACTCTATTTGCATATTCGTATTTGCCACCTCAAAAAACGTAAAACTACAAATTTTCAAAACAATCGGTCCATACATATTTTTTCAACTTTAACACCCTGTAGAACGAAAATGAGCAACAATTGATTAAGGGATGTTTGGCTCAATCGCTATATTTTCATGTTAACAATCTGCCATTAAGTTGTGTACCATTATTAATGATATTTTATATATTTACGCTAAAAAAAATATTTTCAAATCGTTATTTAAACTCCTTTTACCGCTTCTTACCGCTGACCTATATCGAAAGTGAATGTTAATGTACCGTACTGTTCTGTCACTAACCTAACTTTAATACCTATTCTTAACGTTTTCACTGTTTTATAATTGAACAGTGAGTTTTTAGCATTACATATGTTCAAGTAGGTAATTATTCAGTTTGTAGTACGTATATGTATATATGTACGTATTGTGTAACTTATTACTATTCAGATTTGTACTTATTTAAAATGACAAATACGGCTAAAAAATACTCATTCGACCATAAAGTCTTAATAAAGTTGAGATTCATTGCACTTTGATTTTGAGAACACTGCAAAACTGGATGAGACGACGACTAGGAAATCAGCTGTTTCGCTACAATGTACGATTGCTGTGTAATCTGCCGGACTGCGCGGTACGTTCCATATTACAAAGTGGAGCGCCGAAGTAACGCGAGTTAAAGGGTAATTTGCTTTTTTTTAAAGGTCAAGAAAACATTTTTTTTTTCGAATTTCTATCTTTATTAGGTCTTAAAATTAAGGACATTATGACTGAAACCCCTGTATACATAACTTAGAAATCATTTTTAAAAAATTATCACGAGACTATTTCTGCTTTTAGAAGTAGCTGAATATGCTCAGAATGGTCAACAGAATCTTGATCTGGAATATGAAAAAATAAGAAAATTTAGAGGCTTCAAATTCGCAGAAGACTCACATCAAGACATGGACTCTATATTAACTATATTTTCCTTAGTTTACTTTTAGGTATTTAGGTTAAGAAATACTTCAAATGTTTCAACTAATATTTTGTACCTTTGTCGTTATTTACTCAAAAAAGGTTAACATTTTCTTTTTTTTAATGAAATATGTTTGTCATTTGTTAATTTGTGCTTGAGCTCCATTAATTTGAGATTTGGGGTGAGTCTGATTTGTTAAAGTATGTTAATTTTTTATTAGTTGAAGTTTATTTCAGGAAAACATATTTGGAAAAACATTTTAATAAACTTTTTTCCACAGTTGTATGAGTTTCTTAAACGTCACATTTTTTTTAACTTATTGCATCGGATAAGAATACAGAGTTGTTTCCCAATTTTTCAGGTTCTTTTTGGAATTGCTAAATCTCTAAAAATAAAAAATATTAATATTTTTACGTCATTGTTTTTGAATCCCTTATGGTTTTACTATACAGGGTGTAACTAAATAAGTGTAAAACATTTAAGGGGGTGATTCCTCATCGAAAAAAAGATAGGATCGTTCATATAAAGAAACTTCATTGGAGCATCCCTTGTTAAGATACAGCCCCTTAAAGGGGGTACATAAAATTTGTTTAACAATTTTTTTCACAAGCACTANTGTATCTTAACAAGGGATGCTCCAATGAAGTTTCTTTATATGAAAGATCCTATCTTTTTTTCGATGAGGAATCACCCCCTTAAATGTTTTACACTTATTTAGTTACACCCTGTATATAAGACTGTATTTTGAATTTAAAATATGTATATATTTTTTATGAAACGAATAGTTTTAATGTACGTAATATTTAAGTTTATTCATCCGTATGATAAGATTATTTTAAAATTAAAAAAAATAGTACCTCGAAAACAGATTTGTTTATTGAATAATGGAAAGATTTTTTTCCTCGGAACAAACATTGTAAATCCAATGTAACTTTGCCACTGGCTAACAGATTTATACATATATCAATTCAATTAATTTTTGCGATTGATTTTTTATATCATTTAGTCCAAGTTGCATTAATCCAAGTCAAGTTATGCGACATAGACTTAAAGACAACCTACATAAATAGTTCAACAAGGTAAGTGAAGTGAAAGATATAATTTATATAGAATAATTTATTTATTTGTAGGCTTAAAATGGGGAACAATAAATTACTAAATAACATTTGAAACCTGAAGAGAGCATAGCTTTACAAACAACTTCTAATAACCATTATAATCTATTAAAAAGAGTTATAAAAAAATATTAGTAAGTTAATTTAATCAATCAATTAGTAATAAAACTAGACAAACAAAATTGTGTTTAATATTAATGTTATTTTTGTGTTCTATTTTTCTAACGCCGTGATACGAAGGTACTATAAAAACCTTGGTCATAAAAATATCATTCTAATATGTGCATGTATTAAGTGCGTTTGGTTTTTGCATTCACATCTCATTAAATATTTTTGGGTAGGGCCCTGAAATTAACGGTTTTCCACTGCTATAAACTCATGGCCCGCTATGAATTTTTATATGGATGTTTTTTCTAGAAAAACAAGCTTTGGATATCTTTATTGAAAAAATAACATTGAGCAAAAAATATTTATTGCAAAAATGCAAAATAGAATTATGTGGAGTGTGTTTAGGATACCATTAAATCAAAAACATAATACCATATCCTACATTCCCCAAAATAATTATACCTAGGTATATCATATTTGAAGAGGAAATATATGTTGTTTATTAAATGAGAAATAGTTACATCATTATTAGAAAATTTTTGTTGTTGATGTTATTAATCATTATTGCATTTAATCTTTTATGTACACAATACGGTAATACGAAAAACCATCTAAGAATAATTTGGATTCTTTCTATATTCTACACAGCCCATCGATTAACTCCCTGCCTCCATCCATATCCTCCTCCGCTTCCAGAAATTACAGGTCCTCCACTCACCACTAACGTACCCGGTACAAAAGCTCCATAACTGCCAATGCCAGGATACCCTACTTCATACCCACTTCCGTAGACTGATCCGGTTATAGGTTTATGATCACCCTTCCAACCATAGCCACCTCCATACGATCCCGAACTAAAACCCAAGCTGGGATACACCGTGCTGTAGCCACTGTAAAACGTTTCAGCTGTTTTGAGGTCTTCTGTGTCAGCAGGAATGATGGCTACCCTTTTTCCCAATGGCGTTGTTCTGTCTTTTGTGGGAAATCCACTGGAGAATGTTATGATAACCGTTATAAGTGCGAGTTTCTGAAAATATAAAACAGATGAACATTAATCTAACACAGGTGTTTCCTAATAGCTGTTTTACATTGACAATTTATTGATCAATTAATTGATGAAGTCGCTTCATCAAGAAATTGGACAAGTGTAATGCACCAAATCAGCTGTCAAATTACTTCATGAATTTATTCATCAAGTTCTTGACGAATTAGAGCATGTTCTAATTTTCGTCAATTTCTTCGTGAAGTTCGGAAGTACCAACCCAACAGATTTCCAGCCTCAGATCAGTAATGAGGTTATGTTATTGGAATATGTTTGATAATTGTGTGGCGTCGTACTAGTTTTACATTGTTTTTACTGATTTGTTACTTACAAACACTAATATTTATATAATACGTGTCAAAACGGTACCGCTGTTGTATCACTACAATTATGAGTAGAATGGTGACATTTTTGAAATTTGTTTGCTTCTTTGATTCGTTGGTAGAACTGATTCATGCGTCAAAAAACTTGACAAAGTCTGTAGCAGTGTAAAACCACACTGTTTATCAATAAATTCGTGAATTAATTAATGAAGAACTTCGTCAATTTATTCATCAATAAATTGTCAATGTAAAACAGCTATAAGGCAGTATTTCGTAGACGAAAGAAATATCGTTATACAGGGTGAGCTAGATTTAGCATAACTTTTGAAAATTAAAAAAATCCTTTCGACACGGGATTGTTTTTAAAATAATAAAGTTTCTATATTTTTCAAACTAACGGAGATATTCAATTGAATATAGATAGATAGATCTTTATTTACATTTATGTACATTAAGCGGTACATTTATAGTCATAACATAGGCTGAGTAGTGTTCATAAAAGTTAAAAATTCATCCACAGTATAAAAACAATGATTTAAAAGAAATGATTTCGTAAACCTGTGAAAGGTTTTTTTGAGACATGTTTTTAATCTGTTTTCGTCTACAAAAATTATCAAACTTGTTGAACAGACTGATTGTAAGTTTGTTATGTTTAATTTGGGTAATACGCGAATAAGATTCAACCAGATTTCCAGCGTGCCTAGTGTTATATTGATGTATATCAGCATGAGATTACAAATTACATAAATTGGAATGAACGAGTTGAAGCGAATCAAGTAGATATAGGCAGGTCAGTGGTAGAATCTTATACCTGAGAAATATCTCCTTGCTGGGAGCTAACATAGGGACACCCGCAAGTATACGAACAGCTGCTTTTTGTAACACAAAAACTCTATATGAACCACTAGAGTTGCCCCATAATGGCACACCATAGATTAAATTACTATGTATTAATGAAAAATAAACCATTTTAATTACATTATTAGTGACAAATGGTCTTATCTGTCTCATAAAGAATATATGCGTAGCTAGTTTTGAACATAGTTTATTGATATGAGGTATCCAAGTTAAACCAGGGTCAAGGGTAATACCAAGCAAATTAACTGGTTCAGACTTCTCTGAATTTTTACTAGTTGTAAAAGTTATGAAGTTTGTTTTACTAATATTTAATTTTAGATTATTTGCTGAAAACCAGGCATTCGCGAGATTTAGACTGTCTCTGCTGTGCTTATAACGGGTCAACAAGGTTGTATTGTCTGCAAAGAGTATACAAGAAGCATTACGAATGTTAACAGGTAAGTCATTGATATAAATAAGGAATAGTATAGGCCCTAAGACCGAACCTTGAGGGACACCAGCCTTAACCGGTATTAAAGCAGTTGTAGGTAATTAACATATTAATCTAAAAATAAAATAATATACCTGGTGTTTCATTTAAAAAATCGAGAAAATGTCCTTCGAAATTCGCTAAACTGAGGCTTATGTGTAGAACACCCTGTACAAAATTATAAAGATTTTGCTATTTTGTTGTTTGTCCACATCTTTGGTCCGCATGCCTCCAAAATATTTTTTCTTAATTACTGGTAGTACCTGCACAGTGGATAGATTTACAGAACCCTGTGCCAACGAAAATTATCTTATTTTTTAAAATAACTTGGCATCGCCGCATCGAATACAAAAAACAAAGACATCGCTGGAAAGAGAATTTTTTTGTAGAATACAAATTTGTAAAATTATACAGAGTGTTCCATTTAAGAAAAACCGCCTAAAAGATGCTCCGCCCTAATGCATCGCCCTGTATAATTCAAAATATTTTTAAAATGTGAACATTTTTAAGTGCATCACTCCCATAAAATATTTCTTTCCAAATTTTTATAATAGGGGAGATATTGAACTTTGTCACACTATTGGGCCACCCTGTATGTATAAGGGAATATAAAATCTTCTAAACAAACAGTGTCGGAGGTATAGGAAATCGCTTGAATTAATTTGTTAAGAAAAATAATACAGCCCTTTACCAACCAAAGATGATTCACATTTTCCTGACAAATTCCTAATTTACTAATTTCTCATACGTATTTGAGAAAATACAGGGTGTAATCTAAGTATGTTAAAATAAATATTTAAGTGGGGTATTTCTGAGTTAATTCCAAGAAGAAAGTTTATATAAACCTTAACCCGAAAATGATACGTTTCTGAGATACAGGGTGTTGAAATTAAAATTAAACAAAATCATTATTACAACTGCTGAAAGTGGCTACCCCCGACATTAATAAAAGCTTCTGCACTCCTCACCAAGGAATTCCGTACCAGGAATACCTATTTCTTATCGTTTCGCAGGAATCTATTATACGGTTGCTTAACATTTCCTCATCTTCAATGGGGCTAACATAAACTAGGAATTTTAAATGATCCCAAAGGAAAACATCGACAGGGTTGAGGTCGGATGACCTAGCGGGCCAGTGGTGTGTATTTCCTCTACCGATCCATCGTTGGGCAAATGCCACGTCTAAGGAATTTCTTGCTGCCCGACAAAAATGACAACAAATTTTTATTTGAATAAATAGTAAACAAGGGCATAGCCTACTTTTGAACATAAAATTCTCAACAATTTCATTTAACGCCTAAGGGACTCCGCAAATTGCATCTTTGCAGTTTGAAAATTTCTCGAAAAAGGAATATGATTTATTCATAAAAAATCGCAGACGTCTTCTGTCAAAAAAAGTTATGGCAAATTCAAATTAATAATGATAGCGTACGTAGCGCCCTTCAAGTGCTGCACGAAAATTAATACCAAATTATGATTTCTCACCTCAAAAAACACCCGGTTACAAAATTTTGTGCGAAAAATGTATCTTTCGTAAAAGTTATTTAAGGAAATCGAAAATAAAGTTTTAATTTCAACACCCTGTATCTCAGAAACGAAGCATTTCCGGACAAAGGTTTATATAAACTTATTTTCTTAGAATTAACTCAGGAATACCCCACTTAAATATTTTAATGTACTTAGGTTACACCGTGTATTAAAAAACAGTAGATTGTTAACTTGATTAATTTGTATCTCGAAAGGGGAGCATTTTCGGGAAGGTAATAAGATGCGCAGTGGCAAAGTAGTAGAGTGGGGTCTCTTTGATTTGCACATTTTAGGACACAAATAAAATTTGTCAGTTATAAAAAAACGTTATGTATTGTCAAATGAATATATTTACGGGTTCAACGTTAAATATGTTTCATCCTGTGTTGTTGATCCATTATAGGTGCTCAAATATTTATCTCTTAGAAAAAAGTAAACAATATAAACATTTTAAAATTCGGAAAATTTTCCTATTGTGAGCAATGGTTTTTAATATGGCCACACTATGTTCCTAATATGTCCTTAAATTTCCTGATAACAGTAAACCCATATTTATAGTTTTACTTATTTAGTCATAAACCTTTTTTGCAGAAACACACCGGTATAATTGTTGTACCTATATATGGACAATTGCATATTTTCGAGGATGTCTGTATTTGGATAAAATAACTTATTTCATTTTACCATTCTTCTCTGAGTATGATATTCATTCTTGTCTACTGTTTACTGGGCAAGTAATTTACTGCTTGGTGACAACAATTTAATGATTATTATTATTTCCGCCTGAACTAACCCTGAGTTATGAATAAAAGTGTCATGTATTCTCATTATTTTTCTGAAAGATTAATTTAAACTAAGGAACTATACAACTGTTTTACAAACAAATTTCATTTCTTTAAATAAAAAGAACCTTACAAAAGCTTATGTTCTCACCAACAACGTTAGAGTACAACCTTTAGTAAATGGTAACCTTCTTCTTCATAGATGAATATACTAGAATTTCAATATAAAGTAATTAATGCAACAGCTTATTTTGTTAAAAAGAAGAGTTTATTATGTGAGCATTGAACATCACCCCTTTCTTTTTTTAGAAGAGAAAGAGTTTGGAGCCAACAGATTTTTCATTTTCTTAAAACATACTTCCGAGTCCCCTTATTTTTTTTAGCAAATGGTCATCATAAAGAGTTTTCAATTATAACGAGCGTTCAAATAAAAACGTGGTCAAGTTGGTTCTGAAAATTTGGACGTAGGGCGTAGCGTATAGCAAATGAACTTAAACGTCATCTGTCAAAGCGCTATATCGCCACTATCAATTTGAATATTTACGTTTCAAAAAGCGTTTAAAATGGTGTTTTCTCAAGAACTAAAAGTGTTTATCATAGAGTCCTACTTTAGAAATGGACGCAAGATTGATGGAATATGGAAGTATTCTATTGAGGAATGTTTCATAGAATTTCAAAATCAATTTCCCGGCGTTGTTGAGTACAAAATTTTTCAAAGTGCAGTTCAGCGTTGTGTTAATGTTTTTCGTGAAACGGGCAGTGTAACAAGAAAAGAAGGAAGCGGCCGACCTAAAAAGCGGACTGAAGAATTAAAAAAAAATGTCCAACGAATAATGGAAAATGCACCAAGAACTTCTCTACGTGTTTTATCACAAATGGTGGGAGTATCAGTCGGTACCTGCCACACAGTGTTAAAAAAAGCTCCTTTAATTATTTGTTATTGTTATCACGATTATTCTTTAAAATAAAGTTATATAGTCATTATCGTTATTGAAACTGACAGCTGCTATACAGCTCGTTGAGAAATGAGGTTAAGTTAATCGCTATAAGCTACTCCCTACGTCCAATGTGTCAGAGCTAACTTCGACCACGTTTTTATTTGAACGCTCGTTATATTATAAACAATAACGAAAAGACTCATACCTTTTGATATGTATTAATATACAAATGATTTATCTTGAATAATGTATTTGAATGGAATATAAAATCACCTTAACTCATGGAGTTATATTTAAGTGATTATCTTAATTGTAGTCTTGAGGCATATGTCCAAATTGATATAAAAACTCTCTTTATTAAACAAAAATCATTTTATCAACAATTGGATGGAAAACCTTTGAAAGATTTATATAGTGTAGGTATTTATAAATTAAATAAATAATAAATATTCAGGAAGCTATGTGCCATATCCAGCTTTGAATTACGTCTTCAATATATAGTAAAACGCCTAAGATCGAGTAAATAATTTAATTTTAAAAAATCATTCATCAGTTTTGATAACGGTATTGGATCAATATCTATACAAAAAATAAAAGCAAGAGTATCAAGGAATTACATAAAATGCACTAAAACAAAAATAGACTAAATCCAGAACATGCAGAATTTGCAGAAGAAAAACATAGAAGGTGACGTACACTTTGATGTAAACCTTTAGATATATCATGTTGGTAGAACTCATTCACAAATGATTTTATCAAATGCTTATACAGTTTACCTGTATATAAATTTTACGATAAACATACAAGAGCTTAAAATTTAACTAAAATCATTATATTAACAAATATTATTTTAGTATCGATTTTATTATCGGAATTCATGAAATAAATTTATAAACAATTATATTGTATTGAATGGAAGGGAATACAGAACACAGTATTATATGTATGTTATTGAAGTTTTTTACTTACCCTAATCATGTTGATTTAAAAAATCACTGCCTATATAGGTAAACGTAACTATCAAGATCAAGATCACTATATAGCTCTTCGTTGGAGATGATTTGTTTATATATGTACACGGTCTATCAGTTTTTAATGTTAATTACAGAATAAAAAATCGATTTAGAGGTCATTCCTCATAGGACACTGCCCTAGAAAGTTAGGATGGAGTTCCAGGGACCTGGCTTATGATGACTTAACAGTACGTACCTTGTAACAGTAAATGATACTCATGTTATTTCTTAGTTTCTTATACAGTGCGTGTGTAACGTAAAGCGTATATTTATGGAGTCAAGGTAGCTTAAAATTACGCATTATTTCGAAATAATTATGGGAAGCATGGATTTTACTAAAACCTTTTGAAATTACTTGGAGATAAGTATCAGAAAAAAATTATAAACTTATTTTTGTACGCTAATTGTTTTTTAATTGTTTAAACAATAATAAATAGTTTTTTTAAGAACATTTAAAATAATTCAATGAATTTTAAATCGAATTCTTTCAAATTTACAACATAGGGGTTTTCGATGTCGCTAATCAAGAATATGAAGTCGGAAGATGAAAATTCAGAATGGCTGATCCAATATGGTCGACTATTTTAAACAATTTATTTAACAATTATCTATTTTAAATCAAACTCGCTTATATTTGTAATATAGGGGTTTTTGACGTCGTCGCTAAACAAGAATATGATGTCGGAAAATGAAAATTCAAAATATCTGATCCAATATGGCCGACTATTTTAAACAATTCATATAACAATTATTGATTTTAAATCAAACTCGCTGATATTTGTAATATAGAGGTTCGAAAAATGAAAATTATGAATGACTAAAGAGGTTTTATTGAAAATATGTTTTATTTTTTTAAAAAACATTTATGTATTACAAAATAATTAATTTTTAAATCTCATCGAGTTCTTGCTCTTCTTCAAAAATAACTGCGCAATTAAGTCTTTAAGCCAATAAAATTGAAAAAAAAACTGATTTTAAATACAAAATAGCAAAATCAAAATCAACGTCCCCTATTATTTATTTATTCATTAATTATTTTAAAAATGGATCAATATTCATAAATAAATATTAAACTCATACATTTACAGGTTTAGCATAAAAGAAAACGAATATAAATACCTTAAATGCAAACTGAAGATTATTTGTAATATTAAGTTATAATATTACATTAAAGAATTACAAGTGTACGAGAGTATAACCTCAAAATGGACAAAATATGTAAATAATACTCTTTTTAACACACTGATAACTGCAGCTTACTCATAAAGTGAATATTAAATAATTCATCAAAAAACGTTATTTTTATGCTGCTATAACAATTTTCCACTTATTACTATAAATAAAAAAATATTTTTCGCTGGATTTACTTTTTTCAAGGTCTTAACTTCATTCTTTGCTAGTTTATTAAACAAAAAATTTTTTTTTCTACATTTTTTTATTTACAATAAATTTCACGGAATTTTCATGAAATATTTTTATTTTTTGTTATTTTTTGTTTTTCTATTATTTCAATTTTTTAAGAAAAATAAAATGCACCATCTTAAAGTAGAGATTTTAAGCTTTAAAAAGTGCTCTCATAAAGTTTCAATATCACAATTACAACTATAGTTTTTGATCTATAAAGTATGGCCTAAAAAGTCAAATTTGTGATTTGTTAAAATTATTGAATATGTTGGGCTCAATATTTTTCAAATTAAATTTTTAAGATTTTTTCCATATCGCTCACTGTTTCAATCGTCATTTGAGGAGTAATCTGTGAAAGTTACAGATATTTATTTTAAAAAGGAAAAAAATGACAGCTATTTTATTATTATTGTACAAAATTATAGAATGACGTAACTTTGTATACGTACTATACAGGGTGTCCCATAAGCACATGATTAAAAAGGTACTGCGACATTCTTTAGCTAAAAAGAAGACGATTTGACCTAACTTCCATTAAGAAAAAATGTCTGGCTCCTCTGCTATTGACTGTCAAAGTTCTTGAAAAAAAAAATGTTTTTTGTAATATCTGGAGAATGTTAAGATGGATTTTAATGAAACTTGCTGTGGACTTGTTCCTAAGTAAGACCCATGTTTTGATGAAGCAACCGCGTCCATCCGCCTTGGGCTAGTGGTAAATTCTTGAGTATCGTGGTACAAGAATTACCAGAACTTTTTATTTGGTCGCTGTAATCAATTCATTTTATTTTTTTCGAAATTTTCGTGCTCTTGGTAAAATATTGTAGCATTCATAGTTTTTACGTAAAAAAAATGTTTTCAATTTTAAACAATCATTATCACTACTACTCAAGTACAACAAATATTCACTACAATCACTACTATCGTAGTAAGTATCTTGGTAAAATCTTGTAGCATTCATAGTTTTTACGCAAAAAAATGTTTTCTGTTTCGTTGCGACTTAACAATTTTAGATGTATCGCAGTAAATCTGCCCTTCTACAAGAAGCGGCTTTCTCTAATAATAATTGCCAATTCTTTTACCTAGAATATCAATATTGAAAGTAAAATGGTTGCAATTTTAAAGTCTATTGCAATGCGATGAATTGAATATCATTTTACATCATTAGAATTATTTTTTGTTAACACTCAAGAGATGTAAAGACGTACTTAAGAAAGACATAATTCTCTTTATTGAAACTGGATGATAGTTACATAGATACAATAGATGATGGTGGAATTACAAGACATGTTCGATATGCCCCCCATTTTCTTGGATGCATAGCTGGATCCTTCGATAGAAATTGAATTGAGCCCTCCTCAACATTTTTGAATCATTCCGTATTACGACCGCCTCGTTTTGAATCCTTAATAATTCTCAATAATTCTTCCTGGGATTCCACAGGAGTAGCGTAAACTTTATTCTTCAAGGCTCCCCATAGAAAAAAATCTAACGGCGTTAAGTCAGGGGACCTGGGGAACCATTCGACAGGAACATCTCTCCCTCTTCTTCTGATCCACTTGTGTGGAAAAGTATTATTTAAATGTGCAGTTACATTTGCACTAAAGTGCGGAGGAGCAATATCGTGCATAAACTTCATCTGAGCACGAAGATTGAGAGGGACATCTTCCATTAGAACCGGAAAGGTATTCGTCAGAAAATTGAAATAATGTTCGCTATTCAAGCGGCGCAGCATGACATAAGGACCCAGAAGGATGTCATCGATGATCCCGGCCCAAACATTTATTGGAAGTTCTACCTGAAAGTGGTTAATACGCCTCGCATGAGGGATTTCTTCTGCGTAATGGTGAAAATTACGTGAATTAAAGATACCACTTCTGGTAAAACCAGCTTCATCAGTGAATCAGTTTGGCTGGAGAAATTTGGATCATGTGCCCGCGCTCCTTAAATAAAAGGGCAAAATTGAGGTCTTCTCTCAAAATGGTGTGGTAAAAGCTCCTGAATAGACGTCGCATGATAAGGATGGAGGAGCTGCTGTCTTATGATGCGATTAATTGTACTTTTAGGTATGCCAAATTCCACTGTCAGACGGCAAGTACTGATATTTGGATCTTCAGCGACCCTATTTAAAACGTCTCCCTCAACGGCTGCATTTCGTACTTGAGGACAACCCACATGGTCAACGGTTCGAACACCAAATTGACCAGTCTCCCGCAAACTCTTTTCAATCCATGTAAATCGGTAATTTGGAACTCGCCGATTTGGGTATCGCGCCGCGTAGACCGTACACTCCCACCCAAGTTGTCTTCGCAAAACCCTAAGACTCTGATCAGTCGGTCATCTCTTCATTAGGAAACGCCATTCGAAACGAATGTACCGGACTGTCCGACTAACGTGAAAAGATTGACAATTCATTTATTATAAAATCGCTTACTACGATAGTAGTAATTGCAGCAAGAAAAATTTTTTTTTGCATAAAAACTATGAATGCTACAAGATTTTACCAAGAGCACGAAAATCTCGAAAACGGACTGATGCATCAATAAAAATAAAATGAATTAATGCCATCGACCAAATAAAAAGTTCTGGCAATTCTTGTACCAAGACACTCAAGAATTTACCACTAGCCCAAGGCAGATGGACGCGGTTGCTTCATCAAAACATGAGTTTTACTTAGGAATAAGTCCACAGCAAATTTCATTAAAATCCATCGTAACATTCTCCAGATATTACAAAAAACATATTTTTTTTCAAGAACTTTGACAGTCAATAGCAGAGGAGCCAGGCATTTTTTCTTAATAGAAGTTAGGTCAAATCGTCTTCTTTTGAGCCAAAGAATGTCGCAGTACCTTTTTGATCATGTGTGAAAAGGATGGACAAAGCTCGACCCAGGTTCCTTGGATGAAAATAAGACTATTTAGCCTAACTTACCTACATACAAAAGTGCACGCCTACTGAGATATAGCCTTCTAAATATAGAATAGATAGAACCTAGTTTTTTCAAATAATTTGAAAACTATTTTACTTAGAAACTTCAAATTTGATACACTTACAGATAATGTAAGATAGTAGGCCTGATATTCCCTAAAATATGAGCTTTAAATATTCAACCAGTGGTGTACAACTGGACGGGGTCACCCCTTTTTTTACAAAAAAACCTACGCCACTGCATTTTTTACAAGTAATTGTAACATATTTATATTCTAATACACAAAATACGTTAAAAAGTTAACTTTAATTTTTTTTTCTAAGATTCGCCGTTCTTAAGTTATTCATACCAATACTTGCCTTGTGGCAGACACTTCTAACCATAATATTACAAGAATATGTATGCTTATGTTTAAAAGTAAGTGCAATTTGTAAGCACATCACCAAAATTATTTACACACCTTTCTACACCACCTGTGAGGTAGGATTCCTGACGTGTTTTCCCTTGAGGCCTATTACTCTAATAAGAACAATTTAAATCAAAATAATAATAAAAATATATTTACCAAGCAGCAGCAACTAAACAAGAAACAAAATTAACGTTACGTATTTACAACAATTGTTCAAAATGCGAACCACCCACATTGACACCTTCTATTAATGGAATTGAAGCTAATATCATGTGGTGGTTTTCTTTTAATTCATTACACTCGTCTTCTCTACAGTAGTTGTGGTCTAGTATCTATTGGAGTAGACTAAACTTTTCAGGTAGGTTACCCCAAACATAGAAGTCCAGGGAGTTTAGATTTGGCGATGTGGCTGGCCAAGACACTGGACCCTCTGCATCATTATTACATTACATTGGCATTTGGTCTTCTACGTATATATTTTTTTTTCTCAATTTTAAAGACATACAATTTTGATAGCTGGATGACTCTTCTTTCATTTAAATTTTTGAGAAGGTCGATTTGATGAATTAGGTTAAAAGTTATAACAAATTTAGTGCAGCGCGCTCGGAGCCGCGCGCTCTTCGAGAGCTGTACTTGGGGGCCGCCCGTCATTTTTCATACGTTAGAGAAAAAATTCTACAGCCTTCAATTTGCATTTTAGAAAAAAACTTTATCAACATGTTTTATGTAAAATTTCCTGTTCTTTCGAATGGCCCAGTTAATTTTTTATAGAAAATAATATTTTTTCATATATTTTGCAAAAACTGTAATTTTGCAACTAATTTGTTAAATAAATAATTTAGCGTACACTCTACAGTTGGTAACTTTTTATATGTTGTTTCTGACAACTTTACAAAGCGAAAAATAAAAAGTTCTCTCTTCAGGTAATTTTCGTGAAGTCAAAATCTATCTTGACTCCACTAATTGTGTAAAAGAGCATTTACATTTTTAGTAAAAACATTGGGCCGTTTCGATTTTTCATTTCAACTCCCCATTTTTATAATAATTTCCATATATTTAAGATGGAGTTAGGGAACAATTTTTTTAAGTAATTGTTTTCATACCATTATCAAAATATCTCAATGGGATTTTCAATAATTTTCAAAACTGTTTTAATTATTTGTATTTAAAAATTTTAAAAATCTACGTGTATTTACATGGCAATTGAATGATTGCTAAGTTTTCCAATAAATACAGGTTGTTACAAATTTGCTTCTAACTACAGGGATCTCGGAAACGGTAAGAGATACGAAGTAACTTAAATGGGGGCAAAATTGCATAATCAGGGGACCAACATTATGACTCTAAACAATCAAAGCTGACATGATTAGTTTTCGAAATAAATATTTGAAAAAAACCTAAATTTTGGAAATCCGTTTTTATTTCATTTCAGCCTTGTTTGAGGTGATATTAAAAAAAGAACACTTTCTCATGGCAACTTTTTGCCCTCTATCGAATGGCATAATCAATTTTTATAGGTAACGTTTCGTCTCTCCAGGATCATCATCAACTTTTCATCAAACATTTTTTTACCCCCAATATTGTACTACCTCAGCCCGAACCAGATTCAGACGTTTTGTCTCGAAAAATTTATATTCAATGTATTCGTTCCAAATTTATTTATTTATTTTTTTAATATATATGTTTCTTGAATTATCGTACACTCTAACTGTCGGTAGACCCTGTGAAATCCACCTAGTTATTTAAACTATTACCATCACATGTTACAATAAAACATTATTAGGGTTTTAATCCCGTGCTCATGGTTATTTCTAGGTTTCTCGAGTGCTCAAAATTCAAACAAATTTCGTTCTAATTTTTTTCAGGATATTAATAGAAATAGGTACATCTGACATGCTCTTTCACAGTTGATCATATTATGCTTATGTTTATTTTCAGCATTTGCCGAATCGGAGACGGTTTTTTGTAAAGTATAATATTCATTTGGAGTTTCGGTTGTTCATATGCATTTTTAAGAATTAATTTCTAATAATGAAATTAAAATTGTAATAATGTTTTAATTTTGACGCAACAACTTATCGTATTATGTATGACCAAGTGATGGAGAACTCTTAGGTAGGTATAATGTGTTATTCTAAAGTGTGATGGTAATAGTTTTAATAACTAGGTTGATTTCAAAGGGTCTAACGACACTTAGAAATCTAAATAAAAAAATTAGATTTTGGAACGAATACATTGAAGATGAATTTTTCGAGACAAAACGTCTGAATCTGTTTCGGGCTGAGGCAGTATAGTATTGGGAGTAATGAAGGTTTGTAAAAAATGTAATAAAATTTCCAGAGTCGTGTTTAAAAAATGAAGTTGATGATGGTCCTGGAAAGACGAAACGTTACATAAAAATATTGATTATGCCATTCGATAGAGGGCAAAAAGTTGCCACGAGAAAGTGTTCTTCTTTTTTCAATATCACCTCAAACAAGGCTGAAATGAAACAAAAACGGATTTCCAAAATTTCGATATTTTTTTCAAATATTTTGAAATCATGTTAGCCTTGATTTTTTACGGCCATAACGTTAGTCCCATGATTATGCAACTTTGCTCCCATTTAAGCTATTTCGTTTCTGTTACCGTTTCCGAGATCCCTGTAGTGAGAAGCGAATTTGTAACCGCTTGTGAAAATGAAAATGAATGAATGAAAATGAAAATATTAAACGACCCAGATGTTATTCTTACTTTTTAAACACGAACGATTAAAAAAGTAATTCTGCAGATGTACAAAAAATTATTACAAAGAAAATGTGGAATCAAGTATTAATATCAAGGTGTCCGAGAAAATTACTGGTTTTTTTATTAAATTTTTAAGTTATTTAAGAACGTACTGTAAATATTTATAATTAGTATTGGGGCTTAATGGATGTATTAAGCAGTAAACTTTTATAATGCTAATAACTTTCGGTTTAATCAAATAGATCCAAAGCCTTTCTCATAAACACTGCACAAGTCTGTTGCAACATTTCATAAATTTAAATAAAACTAAACATTATTGAATTTATCTGTTTTTTCTCTACTATTTAACAGTCTTTTTAAGACTGAAAAACTAGCAAGGAAAATCTATGTGTTTATGTTGAAACTTACATACTATACGTTTCAATGAATTAACGCGACCATTTTAAATATTACGTATATATATTTTGCTTCCTTGTTAATTTTTCTATCTAAATAATTAAAGCTTTGACAAAAAAATACTCTGTCTGACATTGCAATAAACATAAGGACTGTTTTTAAAGTACCTAAATGTGTTATAAAAAAGGACCAATAAATTTTTATTCATTTTTCTATCTAACAATTTTAATTCCGTATTCGATTTGTATTTTCTTGAACCTGTAGAATGCAATGCTTAAAAATAGAGGTAAACAAGTTTGCATTATAAATTATAATACGTGCAGGTCTCTGAACTCAAATTGTTATTATAAATAAGGACGTAAAATTGATTCTGTTGCAAGACATGTTACCCAAGAATTTACGTTTGAAAATACATTTTTAATTTCCTCTCAAAATAATAACTTTTTTTTTATTTTATTCATTAGTTATCCTGGTGATTTTAATACTAAGAGAAGTGTTTAATTAATAAAATAAACATGCGGCAAAAACCACAAATTCAAAAATAAAATTTTCCGGGAAAAGTATTGTTATTATTGCACTATAGATAATTTTAATGCATGAATTTTTAAATCTCAGTAATAATAACAATTCGTATATAATTTATTATCAAGTAATACCAAATAATAAATGTTAATGTTCTCTAGATGAATAGTCAAAATAAAACAGTAAATTTGTATTATTTACACTGTTTATTTTTAAATCTTAAAAACATATAATTAATTAAACTAATAACTATCCGTAGTGTCCATAGCCACCATAACCCCTGTAGCCGCCGAACCCCCCTCTATATCCACCATATCCACCATATCCGCCATATCCCCCATATCCACCATAACCGCCGCCTCTGTATCCACCAAAGCCACCATAACCACCGTAACCGCCATATCCAGGATCAGGAAGTGCCACACAGAGGGCTACGACGATTACCATAAAAATTGCTATTACCTAAAAACAATTAAAATTAAAGTTAGTTACAATAAATTCTTTTTGACATAGGCTAACTTTTTTATTTGAAGTGTACTTCCAAATGCAGGAAAGTTGTAGGAAATAACTTGACAAAAAAAAAATTACAAATAATGTTTTCTGGTGTTGCCAGATTTGATAAAAAAAATTACAAATAATGTTTTCCGGTGTTGACAGATTTCTTTAGTAGCTATTAAAACAATATTTCTTTAAGTGGCAACACTGTATTTTTTTAACATAATTTAAATAAAAAATCTAAAATCTAAATAAAAAATGTTATGTTACATTTCTTTATCGGAGTAGCCATTTTAGAATAATCAGCAACAACAACCAAAATAATGTGCAGTCAGCAGGAAAAAGAAGCTAACATAACAATAGCAGGCCTTGGAAATTAAACAAAAATTGTGTTGTTTGAAAGGGGCAAGGGGCCATCATTATTGTACTGTCATTGTGTTATTTGGAAACTGTTATATTTCAATGTGTATAAAAATAACGTTTTAATTCAGCTGCTGGAAGACTGGAAATACTAGTCTATCACTTCAATTAAAAAAGTTGGCCTATGTCAAGTTTTAAAAAATTACACTATATATAAATATAAATATGAACTTATCTCTTCAATATAAACTTATAATTTTGATTTATATATTTAATATAAAGAATGAATGAGAAAGCAAATCTAGTAGGTACTTAAATGAACTTTAGTAAAATTTTGTAATTTACTGGAAAGAAATTATTTTTTCATTATTTAATAGTTCTCAATAAATAAATAATATAAATAATTAATTTTTAATTCTTTCAAATATACTTATTTGTTTCACTTTAAATGAACGTAGGTACTGAATATCCAATTGATAAGAACAATTTAAAAAATGTATTTGAATTTGGTCCACATATTTATTTTTATAATGTTAGTTACCTTTTTCACAGATGTGGACAAATATAATTTTAAGAAATTGTTTTCATTTGTCTAAATTAAAATTATTTTATGCCTCTGTAAAATTACTACAAAATGTACTTATTAATTCGATAGATTACATATTAAGTAATGTCTAAAGGAAATGTACCTGTAGTCATTTTTAATTATTTAGTACTTTATTTATTATTGATATTTTTTAACATAGCAAGAGAAAGGAGCAAAAATTATAAATTGAGAAACAATCTTTAAATATTTAAATTTCTTAAAGTCAGAAAGAAAATTGGTAACAATTTTTTTTAAAATAATATATATAAAAATCAGATATAGCATACCTTAAGCATTGTTAAATGGTGGTAAAATCAAAGTTGATTAACACAACAGAGTACTGATACTGTCTGATCCAGGTGCAAATAATATTGCTATTTATATATAACGCAGAATGACCTCTTTTGGTTTTTTCTGGCTTTACCTGAAACCTATTAAGCTTGACCTTACTAGAAAACATGTTGTTTGGAGAGACATAATACAAAATTATTTATTTACATAAAAACATTTGATCCACACTATTTTGACAGTTTCCTTATACAGGGTGATTCATTAACAATGGGAAAATCGATAGCTGAAGATACTACACGTAAAATGGTGACCATTGGTGTAAACATGCCTTATCCGTATGTTGACATAGTGTTTGTTAATCGATTTTTCTCGAAAACGTATTGAAATACCGAAATGAAACAAGAGTACATAATTAATGGAAAAATTATTGCTCTTTTAGGTTTTGAATCAAGTTTCATATTAAACATACAGGGTAAAAAATTATTAACTAAATTTTCTGTAAAATTGGTCGTAAGTGGCGCCCTCTATGACCAACGCTGAAATTGCAACACGCATCTTATTCGTCGCTTACAAAAATATAGTTTCACAAATTTTCAAGTTACTAACCTACATAGTTTCAGAATAATCGCAAAAACACGATTGAAAATTTTTACTTTCAACACCCTGTATTTCCGAAACTATCAACTTTCGGATAAGACATATTTACGCCAATGGTCACCATTTTACGTGTAGTATCTTCAGCTTTCGATTTTCCCATTGTTAATGAATCACCCTGTATATTATATTACAGGATGACTAACAAAATATGCAATTTTCACAAATTATACAAAGATGGGATGCAGAATTTATTTTAAAAATGTTTTCGTTACCCTCATAACACTAAAATTAAAATATAATCTACTAAGTATGTACATTCAAAAAAATTATGTAGGAATTGGTTTGATATACAGGGTAGGAAAGTACCGATGGTCTATCTGAGAGCTATAAAGTAAGCCATAGAAATCCATGCGATAGAGAAGGATGACTATAATGAAGGCGTCTCATGGTCACCGCCCGTTTCGCCCTTCCACAAATAAGATCAACTTCTTATTTGTGGAAGGGCGAAATGGGCGGTGACTATTTGACGCCTTTACTATACCCATCCTTGTCTATCACATGGATTTCTATGGCTTACTTCATCGCTCTCACGTAACTTCAGATAGACCATCGGTACTTTCCTACCCTGTATGTATATTTACACTTCAGTCTTTACAGCTTTCTGTTGTTTTATTTATTAGATTAGAGACAATGAAACTCTTCTACCTTTTCAATTTTGCCATGTGATACGCCACTGAATGAAAATTTGACGATTTAATGCCAGCCTTCACATTTATATATTATTTAAAATATTATCTACTTTGCGGTGTACCTATGTCGCACTGAAAATCAAAATTTAGTAAGGATGCGGTTGGAATATATCGAACTTTCGTTAAACTTGAAGAGGTATCTATTGGATAATTTATAGGTAGATAGATAGCTTTATTTGACCATTTGATATACAATAGTACATTTATGGCAAGTCAGAATACACAAAAAAAGATCACAAAGATAAAAACTATTATGTGTACATAAATAAAATTACTAAAAAAAAAACAAGAACTTACACACAACATAAATAAAGCATACATTAGATATATATTTATTTATTTATATAAAATCACTGGAATGGCATATTTACCTACACAAATATTAAATATGTGACGTAGACTGATGTCACTGATTTAATGAATGAATTTTATAGCGAACTTATAGTATATTCAAAGGGTTGACAGAAAATACAAAAAAATATAATTATATATTGGCAGGAATTGTGAATTTTCTTAGGAGCTACTAAAAAATAAGAATTTCTACTTTCTGAACTGGATTTTTTTCTAATAAAAAGGAATAAATTATATTTTATGATATACGTGAGTTAAATGCATTAACTGAATTTTCAAAGTACTCATAGAAGTTTTGGAAAACTTAACGCCCTCCACTGGTTACTAAAATTTAGTGAAATTTTACTGAATAAATTCGATCACTAGTAGTTCTGTCAATCTACAGAAATATTTAGATATTTAAGTAAATGAGTACTGTAATTAGAAAAAGTTAACTTCAATTTATCAAGGGTAGAACTTATGATCCAAAAACAATCTACTGAAGTTAACATTTAGTTGAAAAATTCTGTTGTGTCAGCATTAAGTACATAGTTTTAACAAAATAAATTTAAGAAGTATAACATTATTAACATGCTTTTTTACATTTATGTAGATTCAAATAAAAAGAGAACAGCAGAGAGAAGAGCAACAGAAGAGAAGAGAACAGAAATTTTTATATTAAAAACTGCGAAATCCTGCGAAAGTTACAGAAACACACAAAAACTAGTTAAATTCATAAATTATACAAAAAATTGTTATAAAAAACAACATGTATAATATAATACAATTTAATCACCTTCTTCGTCCTATGTTCTAAAATCTTCATTGTTTACAACAAGGTTTTTCCAAAATTCCAGTTTATGTTTAGGAATTATTGATGAGAGATTTTTTAAACGTTTTTCTCTCTTTCTTCGGTTGTTTCTCTATCTTTTTTTTCGTACATGGCTTCTGTTAGATAGCATTCAGATTTTTTTACCTACGAAATGCAGCTCTTTTTCAGTATCTTAAAAAAATTCGGCACAAAAGAGATATGTGAAGCCCCTGTGAGCTTCAACTGTCGACATATTATTTAGTAAAGGTTTATTTTTCTTGAGTTTTTGAAGTTGATAAGTGAAGATACCTAATGTTGGTTAATCTTGAAATCTATGAAGGATAACGTTTTAACAACAGCAGATGAGGTGTAATAACTTACAGCAATAAAAAAAGTCCTGAAAGTCATAGCACTTATGATTGTTTTTATGATTGTGATTGTGAACCAAGTGATGCAAACTATCAGCTGACATCAAGGACTTCAAAGTATTCAATAGTAATAGTTTCAACGGCTATTTCACATGAATTAATAATATGCACCACTTGCACCAGAAAATTGAACAGGCACCAACTCTTATTCTGGCTGGTGCAATTGTCTGTCCAATTAACAATAGTTAATTATTCTTTAATGAAAATATTATACTTATATCTTCTGTTTTTCTTTCCGAGATTCCCTCATGCCATACCACAGTCCCAAGTGGGACATATGATTCATTTAATTCCCGTCGAATCTCAAAAACTTAAAATGTCTGTATATCGAAAACAGTTGAGTTTATCGATTTGTAACAAGTATACCTTTTTTATTTAGAATTGAACGTAGTTCAATAATTTCTAGTTAAAAAATTCAAAATTGTAAAATATAAAAAGTTAGACATATTTTTACCCCCTAGACGTGACCCCAACACTATTTGCATATTCGTATTTGCCACCTCAGAAAACGTAAAACTACAAATTTTCAAAACAATCGGTCCATACATACTTAAAATGTAGATAAAAAAAGAAAATATTTTTTCAACTTTAACACCCTGTAGAACGAAAATGTGCAACAATTGATTAAGGCATGTTTGGCTCAATCGCTATATTTTGACGTTAACAATCTGCCATTAAACTGTGTACCATTATTAATGACTCACTCTGTATAGATTATTCTACATAATAAAATGAAAATCAATAAATAATTATCTCCGAATGTCATTGTAAAACAGGAATATCTTATTTTTATCTTAAAGCATTTTATCGAATCGACATATTCTTAATTTTTACACTAAAAGGTCTCCATCAGACTTTAGTAGCCGCGGTCTCGCCCGCGGTGCTCGCGCGTTGTCTGCCGAGCGCAACTTCATAAGCTTGGCAGACGACCTTTGTTGTATCTTATTAGTAACAGACTATTATTTTCGTGTTTGTTGCTATAAAAAGAAGCATTTCAATTAATTTTATCCTTGCGAGTATAAATTTTTGAAATATTTTTTTTTGCGCTTACTTATGTGGGTGGCAGACGAGTTTTGTTGTGGAATTTAGGTGGTAGACGATATTTTCTAAACTTCTTATGTTTCAACTGATACGTACAATAAGTTTCGCGTATGCGGCTATACATTTTTGTTGTTGATTTTTTGCTGTAATTGTAACCCTCCTGTAACCACCTGTCGCGGGGGTGCGCCAGCAGAAAAATGAAGCTTGCGAAAATGACCCGGAAATTTCTGTCGTTAAATCCCGGACTATTATAGCATTCTCTTTGATTTTTATTTAATGGACTACAAATTTCTCAGTACTTAATCATTATTCGATGGAAAATCTAAAGTGGAAAGAAAAAATGTTTTATAGACTCTGGTTAAGGTTTCCTTATAGAAAATAGTTAACACTAATATTCTTCCGGTTGTTTATTTAGTTTTCTTTTCTGATATTCGTCTAATAAATCCTGTCTTTTCGTTATGAGAAACTTCTTAATATATTTTCCAATACTCTTTTTTATTCATTTATTCTCCGCCTTATTTCTTTCTAAAAAATTTGGGCTTACAATGCAATGATCCTTAACATGGTGAGCTTTTAACTTCTTTTCCTTTAAATAAACTCCCCCCTCCTTTCTAGTATATACAGTTTTCCCTTTAACTTTCCTGACTTTGTGGTGCTTTGTAATTTAGTCCGAACATTTCTTTCTCATTTAATATATTATTATCATTTATACCTACCTTCAGACATTACGCATGCGTCTAGACGTCGGCGCATTGAGCCACGTATTTGCTCAAATATTCCTGGAGTCTCTCTAATTAACTAAACTGACAGCTTGATTCCAATTTAATTGTCAGTATCGCTAATAGCGGCCTACTAGATAAATTAGTTTCATATTTTCGTTTTATGGCGATATGTATCTTGTTCGTAAAATAATTTTTTGCTGCGAACTGGTTTATTTTGGGCAAAAAATTCAAGAGACATTTTTTTTAGAATGAAACAGGCTAACGGAAATAAATTTTTAAATGGTAAACAAATAATAAGACAAAAAGTTACGTTGGAAATAAATTTTAGGGGTTGCGTTTTCCACCCCTTACAACCATGGGGTAAACCAAATAAATTACTGGCTAAGTGTCTTTTTGGTAGTAGAAAATGTCAGGTTAATTTCAATATTGTAACTTGTTTAGTGCTTGTGAAAAAAATGGTTAAACAAATTTTATGTACCCCCTTTAAGGGGCTGTATCTTAACAAGGGATGCTCCAATGAAGTTTCTTTATATGAAAGATCCTATCTTTTTTTCGATGAGGAATCACCCCCTTAAATGTTTTACACTTATTTAGTTACACCCTGTAAATGTGTAAAATTAGTAAAATTGGAAATATCTTCTAGAATATTGTAATTATTGTTTAACGTTTCCTGTACAAAGAGTCAGCAATTTCTATGGTTTTGTTAAATTTTCTCCCAGACTAATAATATTTCTAATATATGTAGATAATAGACATATCTGGAAATTAGGTTTGGGTAGTTATGTATTAATTTTAAGTAGAACTGAAATACATATATGGAAAATGTATTCAACATTATTTTTTGTTTATTCTTCTGCTTTTGTCCCAAATAAACTTTTCAATTATTGTTTCATTAAAGTTTGGTATTTCTCGCACCACTGATTTTTCAATAGATAGCATTGCAAGTGCTACAATTTAAACTTTTACAATTTTTTAAAAAAATACACAAGAAACAATATGTAAGGAACAAAATTTTACAACACACCTGAATAAATTACGTTTTGTTTTTTTTAAAAAAAAGCGGTGAATAGCTATATTTGGTTACGGTCGGACTAAACAGAATTCAAATATGCATAGTAAATATGCACTACTCCCACTCCGTCTTTAACTGCTGCGCGACGGTAACCATTACCACCGCTGTAAACAGTTTACAGATTTAGTTTACAGTTTACAGGCGAGCTACAAGGAGCCTACAAATTTTGCTTTTGCATTTCCTTTTTAATATGTTGCATACGACTAATATATGTAATTATGTAAATAATTGTGTTAATTAAATTTTTTTATTGTGAAAACCTCTGGGGGGGCGGCGGCGCCCCAAACCCATGCAGCAGCCTCCGCTGTATAGCATTGTATTTTTACATTAACAATTCGCAATTTTCACCTAAAATAACTTTTTACTGTTCTGCGAGTTGAAAACACATTTAATTTATTAAAAAGTTACACTACTAAACAAAAACAACGTACATAATGTATGTGTACAAATACGTAAACAGTTTTTTTTAATATATCTAGTTTTGCTGGATAAAATCATTGTACACATGCGTAGGCACTAGTTCAAAACAAGGCAGATATGTGGTCACATACAGTCTTAAAACTAGAATTTGTTACTAAACAGTGCAAACTTTATGTTTATTAACTGATATGCGTTATTTCTATCTGATATTGTTAAAAAAAAACTTGATGAAATACAAATATGAACATTTCAAGTCGATTCTTGATTTTTGATGATTTGATGGAAAGTTTTTACATAAGGTCTTTCTTTTCGTATTGCAACACACAGATCTATGCTGCATTTCATACCAAATCACTGTGACCGTGACCGGACCATTTTTAATTTTCGTGATTTTTATTATTATTTAGTACCTACTCATTTCGAGTAGCTTCCATGAATTTTTTCAATCCAAATTTTTATTTTAACTCCTCAAGAAGTTATTAGCATTTGAATATTTTCAGTAAAAAATGTTCAAATACCTGTAACTTGGCAAAAACTAAAGACACCAAGATTATTTTCATTGTGTTCGTTTTGGGATGATGCTTTTAAAAAAAATATATAAAAATAATACATTTTCAGTTTTTTGAGGTTTTTTGATTTTTAAACCAGTGTTTTTGAAAAAGAGTCATCTTTTTGTCGAAATAATCTCAAAAAAAATCGTCTTTCAATATGCAAATTTATGATAGGTTCTAGAACTGGATTCATTTTTATTCTATTCATTTTCGTATTAAAAAAATATACTTATACATTTTAATTTTTCTACTGATAATTTACACTATTAAAGCAAATTTTAATATAGAAGTAAATCGCGATGACTAACTATTAAAAATACCATATTTTACAGACCACTTCTACGAATATTGTCATTACGAAATATCTAAACTGGCGCTTGGATCACTGGCGGGAATATTTAATGGAATAATACAGAACATAAAATCCGTCAGGTATTCTAGTAACTATTTTTTATCTCGTCGATACTGTATAGACATTTTTACTAAATACAAATGATTAAAAATAAAATAAATAAAGTATTATGGCGTTACACAAAACAACTTTTTAACATTGAAAAAAAAATATTTACATAGTTAATAATAATTTAGATATTTAGTATCTAATGAAAATATTAGTAGAAGTAGTTTTAAAAATATGGTATTTTTAATAATTAGTAATCTTGATTTACTTCTAATAAACTTTGGTTAATAGCGCACATTATCTGTAAAAAATTAAAATACTAAAAAAGTTTTTTTTAATTTGAAAAAAAAATAGAATAAAAGAAGAAACTCTAGAACCTATCTCATAAATTTACATATTGAAAGACGATTATTTGAGTTTTTCGAAGAAAATAAAACTCTTTCAAATAACACTTTTTTGGTTTAAAAAACAGAAAACATCTTAAAAAAACGGAAGTGTATTATTTTTATATACATATTTCTTTTTATAAAACTACATCTCATAAGAAGAAAAATTTTTAACCATAATAACTTAACAATTAGTTGTGTTCGTTTTATGATCGGACAAAAAATATGGAGAGACCAAAGCTCTACTTATTTTCATATTTTCCATTATTTAATTTCGGTAAATTTTATTCAGCATATGTCTGTCATCTATACGTTAACAACTACTTACTCCATTACTTGTTTCGGTATTTACAGTCGGCGCCAATGGAATTATATATTGTAAATAAGGAAAGTGAAAATTCAAATTCTTCTACATATATATCATATTTACTTTACACGCCTTGACATTATTTAATGATCCTCATAAATACTAGATTACTATTTTAATGCAGAATAGCTGAATTATTCAAAATAGTGTTGGAAATGTATTATTTCTCACGTTTAAAAAACTTACAGTTTAATCTAAATTCGCTGGTTGTTATGTTAGGTACATAGGTACCTACCTACCTAGTTATTGCACACAATTCTATTAAACGTAATAATACTATATACTTATGAAGTGCCTGGTTTATTCGCAGATATATGAAATTCGTAACATAAATTACAATAGCACATTACACGAAAAGAAACACATTTCATACTCTATCACCCTTCAGCTTCCCGTTTATTTTATATTACCAAAAAATCAAGCCTAAGCAGTAACCAAAATTCTATACTAAACCTAGATTAATTTATCCTATTCTATATTCTTTCCTATTTAAAGACTGTCACACCACTGCAACCCCATTGTTTAGGGTTAACACAAGAAAACCACCCCTATAACCAAAAAATCGTATAAAATTATAAAATTCTACATTCGGGGATTCGAGTCACAAACTCCAACCACGAATTTACAGCCAGGAGACAACAGGCAAGTAAGTGATGAGCAAATAATAAATTGGTATATTTTTAGGGAAAGTTTAAAAGCTCAAAAATTTTTTCTAAAAAAATTTTATCAAATGAAGTCATCTTCGATGCCAGAAATGAGGTACCTACCTATAAGTACAAAATATATCTAACCCCATAGACAAGATTCTATTGAGATTGCTGGAAACTACTGTCAAACTAGCATTGAATTGTACCCACAATAATCAGTAAACAGCCAGTAATAAATAATTATCTAAAATAAAAAACTAATAATAGTAAGTACGTACTTATGTCTAAGTATAATTAATACAAAATCAGAAACTAATAATATATTAAATAATGAAATTATTATTTTTTATTCTCTGACAAAATTGAACACGAAAAAACAGCTACTGCAAAGAGTTGTTTTTGTTTCTACATTTTTCTTGGTATTGTTAATAATAGAATATGTTTTTTAAAAAGAAGTTAGCTAATATAAGCTCATAATATTCACCATCACATGTTACGTACCTACCTAATATTTATTGGGCAATAAAAGTATAGAAATTATTACCACACATTTATTTAAATTTATATAATATATAAAAAACAATGTAAAACATGTAAATGTTTACAAAAGAAATTTTACCTCAGATTATCACCAAATTGTTCATTAATTTTTTTTTAAAATTGGGACATTTATGTCTGCGTTACTTTTACGTACCTCACTAGGTATTCAGAATTTACATTATTCTAATTCATATAGTTTAGTCTTTAGTGATATTGCCCGTAATTAATCTCCAAAATTCCAGTTATTACATAATATTGTAATATATTTAAGTTCAAGGCAGGACAACGTAAAACGACATTTTTCCAAGAAGTGAGATGATATATATGTCCAGAATTAATTACGTTTTATAATATCTCAGGTGTTAAGGAAGTTGCCATATGTACATACAAATTTTAGTATGATCCAAATATATGTCAGGAACTATTTAAATAAACCGTATTCATCGAAAATCCAAAAAGACATGTTTTTCGTATACTAATTATGTATTTTTTACCGATTTATTATAAATTATATAAAAATAAAAGTATAAAATTTAAATAAAGATACAAATAACACCATAAATTCAATTTCGAATTTAACTAAAAAGTTGTGTTCATTTATTGAATTTTTTATTTGTAGGTAATTCCATATAACAGAAATTGAATCATTAAACTTTGAACTAGGCAGACAACAGTAACGCTACTTGTATAATGGGTTGCATGAATATTAATGTTATATTTAACCTTGAAATTTTCTGTCAAATAATGGAAAAGTGTATCTGTCAACATTGTCAGTTGAAGTGTCAAAAATTTAAACAATGTGCATTTTGTGTAAAAAAATAAACAATTTCATTCCTATATAAATCATATACTTTCACAAAAAATGGAACAAGTGAGACTTTTGGTACAAGAACAAGGACGTGAGGCTAGAAACCTTTTGGCATTTAATATTTCTGCTGATAACGACAATTTTAGAAGTAAGTTATATATATAAAAGAGTATTTTTCTTTACCACAAACGTAAATATTGTAGGCAAAGTGTCTCGAAAACCACCTTGTTCCCCAAGAAATTTGGAGCCTTCGCAAGTAAACAAACCTCCCAACATTCGTGGTCGCACAGGTGCTAGAGTACGGTCAGCCTCAACAGGAAGGGACAAAAGATCTGAATTGAGAGCTAGATATTGGGCATTGCTTTTTGGAAATCTACAAAGATCTGTATGTATCTTTTATTTAAATTAGATCTAGTTCAAGGTATGGCATCCATACTGAACAAAAGCTTTGATCATAGCATTCCTATTCTATTACTCAGTTCTATAAATACCATTGCAAGAGTATTAATATTTTATTTAATATTTTTCTCAGTATATTAATGTTATTTCTTTACATGTATAATGTTTAATTGTCAATAATTTTCCAGTTCTAATTGTGTATTAAGTAAATGTTTGCCCATATTTATCTTCATTGTAAAATTGAATTTATTCAGATTCTACCCTNATTCCTATTCTATTACTCAGTTCTATAAATACCATTGCAAGAGTATTAATATTTTATTTAATATTTTTCTCAGTATATTAATGTTATTTCTTTACATGTATAATGTTTAATTGTCAATAATTTTAGAGTATTAATATTTTATTTAATATTTTTCTCAGTATATTAATGTTATTTCTTTACATATATAATGTTTAATTGTCAATAATTTTCCAGTTCTAATTGTGTATTAACTAAATATTTTGCCCATATTTATATTCATTATAAAATTGAATTTATTCAAATTCTACCCTTAAGTAATCCAATATTAGAGGTACCAAGTACGTGTGTATGATATTTTCTTTTGCAATTACTGTGTAAAAAGTATTTATTATTTTATTTATTAATAATGGAATATTCAGTTCAATGACGGAAAAAAATTAAATTTCTTTGTTAAAATAATCTCTTCCATTGCTTAATTCTCAATTATAATAATTTGTGAATATACAGTGTGTTCTCAGATAGTCTTAACGATAGTTGTAGGCAGTATATAAATGACAAAAAATGTTTGTTGAATTTGACATTTTATGGAATAAGATTGCTTGATTAAAAAGTAATTCATATTGAAATTTAATTATGAAAAATTAAATAGGCTCTTGCAGGACAAAAAAAATTATTTTCTTTGTAAACAAGGTACTGAGCAAAGTATGTTTGTATGAAATATTGGAAGAAAATTATTAGGAAAAGTTATTTAAAATTAAAATATAAGCCCATATGCCAAAATTGGAAAAAAGATGCCTATTTACTGTATAAAAAATGTACTTTTCTTTAAAAAATTAGAAGAATTTTATTAGCATTAAAAATTATGCTTATAAACTCAAATTTAAAAAGAATTTTTTGAAATATTTCTAAAATTTGATAACTAAATTGAAAAATCATAGTAGACCCAATATTTTTTTCAGTTCCTTATATGTATAATGTAAAAATTTAAAAAAGGCCAATGGCCTCCAGTTTAGCATGTGGAGGTAACTTCTAATTGTGAACAACTTTTCCAATTGCTTTTTTTTTCGATATTTCGAAGGAAAGTGGACCATACAAACATTTTTTTTGCCTGTATTTGCCAAACCTTACTTAATTTTTTAGAAATAAAAATATTTAAAAATTAGTTTTTAATCAAGCAGCAATAAAAACTGCAATGGATTAATTATTATGAATTATGCAAATTAATTTCATTTATTTAGTAAATTTGTATGTGTTAAAATGTATTTTAATGATTTGATCCATTACGCACATTCTATTTAAAGTACCATATGGGTTTTTGGTTATGTCGTGGCCTATGTAGCTGATTATAATGCACTTGCATATTCTTAGCTAGGAATGTTTGACTTGTCCTTGTTAACTTGTTATCGTCAGGCTAGGCAGACCTGCTGTCAAAATCCCTCCTAGACATGCTCTGATATTGTAATTTAAAGCCGCTATGCTATCCTTCACTACCGGCAGCTTCAGTGGTGACTGTGCAATCGCTTTGCCGAGACTGAGTGATTAGTTACAAAGACCACTATGGAGGATCACCATCGCCTGAGGAGTGGTTTCGTCTAATGTCCTTAGAACTAATTACAAGAATGGAAAACAATATCAGGCTGGATGTAGGGGTTCTGGTAGTAGATCCACCTACACAAAGCCTAGCCCGAGAATAACAAGAGTAGGTCAAAGATTCCAAGCTAAGGCTAAGAAAGTTCAGTTCAAGTCGGTAACTGATGGCGACCAGATAGGTACATGGGACACGGTATAACTCAAAAAAATTGTGATACTTTAAATAACATCATGGTCCGTAAAACCATTATTAATACATATTCATTCTTCATTCATAACATTACAGATTGCTGAAATCTATAATACTGTTGAAACACATGAGAGTTTAACCGAATGTCAGGAAGTTTTACTGGTTCTGGAAAATTACTTGAGAGATTTCAATGCATTGGCAGATTGGTTTCGCATTAAATGGGATTATGAAAATACACCTATTTTACAAAGGCCAACATCTCTTGCTTGGGATATCTGTAAAACGAATCTTACCAAGAATAACAGATCTGGAAAATCGAGTCCAAGTCTAGGGTCTGGAAGGAACAGTCCTAATATATCAGGGAAGATTAGTCCAAGGGTTCTTACTAGTAAACCTAAAAATTCTACATCTTGTCCAACGAGTCCTTTACCTAGCATTGATCAGCCTATATTAGAAGGCAAACTATTAGAATCGCCTCCATCACAAAAAGAAAATTTAGATGTGAAATCAGAGGAAAATGATATACAAAACAAGGCAGCTAATTCTAATGAAAACAAAATATCTAATGAAGGCATTCAAGTCAGAAATGAAAGTAAACCAATCGAGGAAGATAATAAGTTAGAGGAAAAGAGTTCTAGTGTTGTTGAGATAAAAGCCACAGAAACTAATACCAATAGTATTACTAAAACACAATTAAAATTGGACGGTACAAAGAAGAGAGTCGAAGTTTTAAAAGGTAATGAAGCTAAGACAAAAATTGTCCAAAGAATGCCAGTAAAATTGGGGATAAAGAAAGATGTTAAACCATCACCACAAAAGCAGAAGCCAATCGAGCAGAATAAATTAACTAATAATAAGTTGTTAAAGAAAAGTAACGATGATATTAAATCTGTAACTAAAGAAGTACATTCTTGTAGTGATGCTGCTGCAGAAAACAAATCAATTAAGAAGAGCACTGAAGATGTAAAATATAAAGAAGTTTCTACCGAGACACCCATGGAAAATAAATCTGATTTGGAACAAATGAAGCAGAATTTGGATTTAAATTTAGAAACTGTGCCATCTTCTGTTTCTTCAGACTTAAACCAAATCTGTAAAAACATCGATTCACCTAGCGAGGACCAGAAAACTTATGATACGTTGCGTAAAGTAGGTGTCCTAAGTGCTGAAAAAAGTACATGTACTGACGATGACTTTCCAAAACTACCAATTAAGAAAACCAATATAGTAAAGATAAACCAGGAATGCCAAACAGACGATAAAGAAAATGATAAAAAATCTGTCAGTCCTATGAAAACAGCTAAGACCGAGATAAATAAACCTTGTCGACCTATTACCGCATCTCGCCCTGCCTATTCTACTGCCTTAACAAAAAGTGCTTCTGCAAAAATCGTGCCTCCTAGACCAAAAGTGGAAGTTAGGTCTGTCACTGCTAGTGGTCGAACTAATACACTACCTAAAACTGTTAAACCATTTTCATCAAGAAATTTTGTATCAAATACCATAGCCACAGACAAAAATGCCTTAGCGAGAAGCAAAACCGTTAGTGATATGAAAACGGCACCAAAAAGCAATTTTAATGCTACTTCAAGACAAAAAACTTTTCAGAAAACAGAGTTGCCGAGAGTTAACCCTACAAAACCTACCACTCATCCCATTTTGTTACAAAAGAGTAAAACTACACTTACAAAGGAACATTTAACAAAATCTTTATCTCTAGATGAATATGCTAGTTCTGTGGAAACCTTAGTCAATCAGGAGAGAACAGCTGATTCATCAAATGTTACTAACTCTAGCAATAGCATCGCAAGTTCCTCTGAAACATTAAACAATGACAGTGTTAGGAGTGATGTTACCGATGGTTGGTTAACTGTCAAATGTAGGTCTAGATTCAAAAATAATAGTAGGCCTAGACGTTCCGACACGGCCTTGTCATGGGCAACTAGGTTCCATCAAGTTAGTGCTACTGCAAGCTTACCAGCCTTGGCTTTACTTCCCGAAAATACTGACACAGCTAAACCCCAAAAGTCTATTGAGAAGAGTGTCAAAGAGAATCTGAATACGTTGAAGTCACTTAAAAATAATCCCGATGCTAATACAGTTCAGTTAAAAAGATCGCATACCACTCTTAGCAAGCTAAGTATAAACAAGAACTCAATTCAGGAGAAGAACAAGACAAATCTTCAAATTAAGAAGACAGCTGAGAGGAAGGAACTTGAGCAAGAACAAAAAAAAGTACCTGATGATGTTGATTCAGAAACAGATGATGAGATGAAAATGAAAGACATGCAAGATGAGATAGCAACAGAGGAAGAGCATAGAAAAAAAGCAAAACAATTGTCTGAAGAGGAAGACAGACTTACCAAGGAAATAGAACAGTTGCAGTGTTTGGAAATTGAAGTGGATACCGAAACTGATGGTACCGAAACTGATGGGGACGAATTACAAGGTGATAATGATGAGGACAGTGAATGCAATGTGCCGGTGCATGTTGATGATGAAGAAATGTCTCTGGAAGCAAGATACGAACCAATGCTTGCAGGTAACATTTTATTAACTTTAACTTGGTATTAAAGTAGGCAACAAAAAATAAATAATAATTTAATTGAAGTAAATGAAAATATACCAGGAACTATTACAAAATAAAAAAATATTTATAGAAATTGTTAAAGGGACATTATCAGAGTTACTTTGGCCTGACGGTCTAATAAAATGTTTGTTCTGTCTTGAAAACAGGAAGATATTCCTCTTAAGTTTTCATAAACATTGTTTATCTTGCCACAAAAACCAAAGGGTTAAAAAATTTAATACAAAAAATATTGTAGCTGCCTTAGGATTTACTATTTTGAATATAATTCTCAAATATAGTGTTTAAAAGGACACAGGACACCCTACCTATTCGTAAGAAAAAATAACAAAATTCCAAAAAAGATGACACTTGAATTTCTGCAGTTAAATATATTTAATTATTTATCTTGAGATTGCTTGTAAAAACAAAATATTACACTACAATATATTACAAGTTGGCATAAGTAACATAATAATAAGAATTTAAGACATTGAATGTTATTTGAAGTTATTTAGCAGTTCAATTGGCTAAAAAAATATGAAATATTGTATGTAAATCTCTGTGGCTGTTTTCAGTGGCCAAATATGGTAATTGTAACTTTACTTTTATGGAAATATTTTTTTGTCGTCGTTGGAAGTTCTTTTAATAACATACTCAATATGTTATTACTATTTCTTCGAGCTGGCTTCTTTTCCTTCCATATTCACTCATTTTTTTTTCATTTTATTGCCAATTTCTAAAGTTCATATAAAAAAACACTTATTACTTTGAGGAGTAAAATTTTTGCATGCCTTTGCATTTCCAATCACAAAACTAAACACCTAAACATAAGTCTTGCTAGTCACGGCTAAATTTGAATTCTCCAATGAATTCCTATTACGCGTCTTTTCTCATCGCAGACACCGATATATTTACATTACTTGAAGGCACGGAGATCTGTCGATAACCCAAACAACGTGGAACCTTTGGGTGTGTCCCTGTACCGATTCTTACATTTAGATTAATATTAGTAAACTCAGATATTTTTCAGATAATCTCTCAATATGTTCTATTCTCGAATACACATTTGATATCAAAGAAAAAGTTTTCATAGTACTTCGATATAAATTCTTGCTGTATGACTGGTAAACGCCAACCTGTACGAATCAATAATTTCCAGGTAACTGCCGAGGCCTAAGAAAAGTTTGTAATGTTTCTATATCTTTGCAAAGTTATAGGGACAGAATTACGATTTTCTTCAAAGAAATAGGTCCCAATAAATTTAAACTTCTAAACGGCACATCGTACCGTTATTTTAGGCGAATGTAGTGGTATCTGGTGAACTTTACATGAATTTTTTTCTTGATCCATTTGAATAAAAATGTGCCTCATTGATCACATAAACTTTGCCTGTGGCTGAATTTTTTGTACTTTTTTTCCAGCGATTCAATTTGATGCAACAGTAATTACTTTTTGAATTTATCCCTCAGAAAAAAATTACCCCATATAATGTTAAAACTGCGATGTTAAATTTTCAGATATGTCTTGGAGTGAAAGAATAGACACTTTGGCAGCACTGGAGGCATTAAATGCCAGACATCCAGGTCGAGCCCACGAACTTCATCAAAAACTCTCTAACCCAGCAAGAAGGAGAAGTTTGGCGGAAACTATCAGAAAATATCAAGCTAAGCAAGCGAAAGCTCAGCAAAGACGTCAGGATCTACAACTTGAAAAAGCACAAAAACTGCAAGCCTTATGGTCTAGAGTAGAGGATGTGAAGGCAGCTAAACTGCAATTAATTGAAGAAAAGCGGAAAAGAATGGAAATGAGGTAATATTAAGCCAGTGCCAATTAATGATCTGTATTAATTGTAAATATTTTCAGATTACAAAAGGCAGCTCAAAACAGAAAGAAGCACATTAAAGGAATTATAAAAAAGGCTCATGATGAGGAAGAAAAACTTAAAGAAATAGCTTTTATAAATGAATTGGAAGCACAAAATAAAAGGTGACATAACTATTACCCGTTTTAAATATTATGGATATTAATAATTATAATTTTGTAGGCATGACTTTCTACAATCTTGTCGAGAACAGAGAGGTAGGATACAGGGAATTCAAGAAGACAGACGAAAGAGGCAAGAGGAGAAGGCTGCCAAAGAAGCTGCTGTCGAAGAAAGACGAAAAGCCTTGGAACGTGAAAGATTAGAACGTCTTGATAGGCTGCAGGATGAAAGACGTCAAAGAGATGAGAGAATTGGCCAACAGCAACAACAGAGAGAAAGAGAAAGACAGGAACTAGCAAGGGAAAAGGCAAGGGACAGAGAGGTAAGTTAAAAGGTTTTAAAAATTCCAATTAATCTAAAATAAATATGAAATTATAGGAAAGATTATCCGCTCTGCATGAAAAACAACTAGCTTCGACTCAAGAGCTACAGAAGAGAATAGAGCAAAAACAAGAGGACTCTAAGAGACGTCACGATGAGAATATGGAGCAGATCCGGCAAAGAGCTCTGGAATTATCAATTCATAGATGTCAGAATGACGACAATGAGGCGCCCAATATGGTACCGTATCCAACTCAGAAGTGGTGTACTGTGTGCAATGTGCTTGTAAGTGATAAAATTAATATTAACAAATTGCAGCATAGAGGATTTTTTTTTTTTTTTTGATGCACTAATACTCATTAACTCAATATCACAAAGGCTTGATGTGTATTATTGCAGTTGAATTTTAAATTCTAAATAAATTTATTTTTGTTAAATTTGCAAATATGTGATTTTTGTGTTGTAACTCTCCACAGTGTCTTATGCTTTTTTGTTATACTGATTAGTATGAGATTTGTTAAAATCCCTATTTAAAGTATAGGTAATATTTTAATAGGTAATTAAAAAAGTCCTATGAAGTAATGTCAGAAAATGTTAATTTTCAAAGTATGTGTTGAAATTTGTAAAAAAATCATTTGCTAATACAGTGCAACCTCTTTAACCGAACACACGTTAATCCGATCACACTCTAATCCGAATGGCCAAATTTGAACGATGACAAGAAAAGACTAGATCGCTTCACACGTACGCGCGTAATCGGCAGTCGGTTTGTTTGCCGATAGCGAAGAACCTGTTGCGTGTCGTGTTTTGTGTAACAATTTTAGAGTTTTTTTGGAAGTAAGAAAAATAAAACATGTGAAAAGCGTAATACATATATGTATATGTATAACTACATGTTTATGTTTTACCTTTTATAAGTTTTATGTATCTTATATGATTTATATTTATATTGTTATAATAAAATGTGTATGTACTTATATAATATACATATGTACAAATCTTTATAGCACATATTACAACCATATGCGACAGCTCTTTGATGTGGTCAATTTCGCCGCGATGACCTTGGACCTTTAACTGGGATGCATCTCCTTCTTTGTCCTACAATGTATTTCCCTCTCTTTCACTGTCGCATATGGTTGTAATATGTGTTTATAGTATGTTCGATAATCCGAACGATTCGATAATACGAACAACGCCTAATAATGTGGTGTTCGGATTAAAGAGGTTGCACTGTATATCATTGAATATATTTGTCATAGAACAATGAAAGAGAGAATGCATTAAGCAATGTTCAATGTTCAATGTTTTATAATGTATGTATTTGCACTTGACATTCTCGGCTATGTTATTGCTCGCGTCACGTTCTCCAATCTTTTCCAAAGAATCTTGAGAGACCGCAATCAAGATGAGCGGAATGTCTAGCAAATGTTTGTGATGATTGCGTACCATGCTAATTCTATGAATCGTTTAAAATCGAAGTTAATTGGCCACATGACTACATGAAATTAAAAAATAAAATTAACTTATACAAATGGCCAGTCTTTCTACAGGTGGTATGTAGCGTCTAAATCTTATATTTAGCATCTGAATGTCTTCGTGAATAACTCTAGTAACTCTAGTGGCTACTTTCCAGATTAGTGCTGTCAAAAACCGGAAAAAAGTGACTCCAGTTAACCGGGTTCTGTAAAAACCGATTTCAGATAAAACCAGTTAGTCGAATAGTTGCTAAAACTGGATATTCTAAAACCGGTTATTCGAATAACCAGTTACTCGAATAATGGCTAAAACCGGATATCTGAAAATCGGTGCTTTGTAAAACTGACGAGATATACAATGTTATTTACATATTCACATATTTTAAATTTTAAAGTTAAATCTAATGTTAAAAGTTAAAATGTTAAAACAGTTATTACTGTGATTCTTCAATTTATTATTTATATAAATGGATTTGGTCGTTTGGTGTATGTGGGTGTGGGTGACTGTTTTTTTTATCAGTCTGTGTCTGTGTTCCAGGATAAAATATAAAAGTAAATTGTATTTCCCTTAATAGTTCAACCCTTCTAATATGTATGTACTATGTAGACTGTGTCAATAACTACATAACACTATAGTACATTGTGTAATGAGTGAAGAAAAGTTGCCAATAGCGCCACGCGGGTGCAGTTGACGCACAAGCGAACCAACTGCGGAAAAAACCCAAGTGGTGCTATGGCAACTTTTCAGAACAAGTTGCACATACTATTTTTTATCACGAGTGCGAGTTGTTATGGGACCTATAGCGTAGGGGCTTATATGCACAGAAAGTGCCAGATAATACAACGGCGTGATGTTATTTTCATAGTGCGACTATATTATGGTGTTATGTACTTATTATCGAATAGTCAGTTATTTGATTAATTGGTTATTTGAATAATTGGGTACTTGAAGAATTGAATAACGGGTTTTCCGGTTTCTTAAAAATCCGAATTATCCGAAACCGGTTAACCGACTATCCAAAAAACCGATTTCAGTTGCCAGCACTATTCCAGATGACATACGGAAGAACTGAAAAAATCGCTGTTCGTCCAATAACAATTTTTTTAATAAAGTTTGACATTCACCCTCTACTTGTCTGCTTTTGTTAATTGGATGAATCCAAAATCTTGCGTGTTTCTGGAATCTGGAATTTTAGGGAGGGTAGCTTAAAAAGCTAATTAGTACTTAGGCTCATTGGGTCTTTTATACTTCCTCCCATTAGGAAGTCAATCCACCTGAGCTGCTAACCAATCTATTACAGAGAAAAGGGTGGTGATATTGCTCAGGGGGATCTCTCTAATATAAGCCAAAGGAGGCCAACATTCTCCCAACATGAATTCTCTTGTTGAGGAGACATCTTGCGTGCTGTTTTCTTTAGCGCTTTTCTTCCTCTTCAAATAAAACCAATAAAAATACCTCTTCCATAGAATTCATTTTCTTAACTACTAAAATAATATTGCAACTATTTAAAGGGAAGCGGGCAGGATTGTGTGCGATTGTCAAATGCAACTGATTTTGTAAAAAACCATGATCAGCTCAGTCCAGAACGGTACCCAATGCAACAGGACCACCTAATGCATTCTCTTCTTAACAATTAGGCTAATGATTTACGTCATTAAAGAGTGACTGAAAATACAAATATGTCAACCAGGGGCAGCAATAATTCGACATCACTTATATTTTCGAAATTCAATGAAAATTGTTTGAAAAAAAAAGTTGATTCTTTTTAACGTTAGCAAGGACTTGTACAGAGAAATTCAGAATAAATGAAGTAACATCACATATAAAGGTTACAGAGTAGAGTTGTTTCAAAATCTTATGAGCTTTGACCTTCATATGCGCAGAAACATAATTCCAACAGTCGTCTAAATTATTCTATGTCCTAAAAACATTACATCTATTATTCAGACTATCTCATGCTCTCGTAGCGTAAACAAGCCTTTGATCCGATTACAAATATCATAACAAAATGCCTTATTCTTTATTATTTTAATTTAAGCAATAAGAATATATATATAACGAACGTTCGCTAGTTGAATTTATTGATGCCCGAGCGCCTTAGTTCATTTCTGGTTGTAATGAGGCACGTGGTCTAATTCTGAGTCAATGTTTTCACAACATGCTTATTAGAAGAATTATGCGGATACGCCACGCCTTTCGCGTATTTCGCGACTCATGAGATTTTGAAACTACTCTACACTGCCTTATGATATCTGTAGGATCTATCTCCTGCAACTTCACGTCAAGGTTCAATATTTCAATAAGTAATGGTTGAAATGTCACAAAACTTTGATACGTTTCTTTTGAAGGTTAGTACTATATAACATGCATGGATTTTTGATGTGGCGCCATCTATTTTTTGACCAATATGTTAAATATAAAAATTAGTTTTACAAATATGTTTCGCAAATAAAAAATTTTATAATTTATGACAAATCACTCAATCGTACAATGACGGTTTACTCCCATTTCCTTCAATCATCAAAGATGCCATAGTGACCTCTAGGAGAGAACTTAGAAGTCGTTAATATGTCAACAGACATTGACTAATTTTTAAAAGTTTTCGCTTGTTGGCATTATACATAAAAAAATACCAATTAATATAAGAAAAAATTTAAATTAACTAATTCATTCACCAAAAATATTTAAAAAAATGGTATGTATTTTAAGAAATAAATGTTTCCGTTTTCTTTAAAGTTGAATGAAACTTCCTCCTTGTATTTGTAGAAAAAAATGTGAATTTACCGGAATTTACTAATTTACTAATTGATCAAAATGAAATTAGTTAAGGTTAGCGATATTTATTTGTACAACTTTCATTTTTCTCGTATGATGACTGAGAAGGTAGGTGAAAAAAAATTGTATATTTACTGGAAACAAAGAAATGACTTCTTTCAATCGTAAATTTTGAGTTTAGATAATCCTGAATTACTGTGCATATCAAATATTTATATATTACATAGTTTTATTTTGTTGCAGATTAAATCTGAAGTATATCTCATGAGTCACTTGCGTGGCCGAATGCACCAGGATGCCGTCAAACAGGCTAACCCCGATTTCAACAATCTCACATCAAACGACGTTGAACAGTACAATCTGAAACAGATAGTGGAAGCCCCTGCGGGCAAAGAAGATCCCAAGGAAGCAGCAGCTAAAGAAAGAGGTCGTTCCCACCGTAAACGGTGCAAGAAAATCAGGCAGCGCATGGCAGTCAAAGGTGCTGAGTACGAGACGGGTTATAAACCCAATGTTCTCGACGGCACTAACAAGAGAAGCCTCAATAGGAGCATCAATACTATTGGGTCGATTACAAACCAGGCCAGCCAAGGTTTGTCGCCTTCTAGTTCTAGTCAGTTGGATAGAATTCTGAATGAGCTTACGAGGTTGCTGAGTAAAGGCAACGGAAATGACTTGTTGGTGTTTCAAAGTGTTGGCGGCTTTGCTGTTCTAGGAAAACTTCTGGCACTAGGTCAAGATGGAAATACATCAATTTCTGTCAAGTAAGTTTGAATATATTTTTATGAATTACCTTCTTTCTTTTTTCTATTTTCTATGGAGTTCATGTTTATTAGTTTTACTCTGGTATTTTCATTATTTTTTCAAAACTGTATGTATTCGATGACAGCTGTTAGTTAGGGTTGCCAACTGTTATGATTTTCATAGGACATCCTGATTTGTGGTAATTTTTTTAAAGTTTTGCTTAACTCTGATTAGGCGCCAGATGTCCCAATTTCAGAGGATTATTGCACTATTGGCGATATCACTTCTGCCATCTTTCGAGAATGCAAGTAAACGGGATAAATAAAGAAATAGCAAACTATCATTCTTTCTTTCCAATTAAAGATTTTCCCTTTATTGTCAGCCTTGCTGGTAGAGGTCTCTGTGGGGGCTGAGGCTGAGTGTGCGATGATTTCAGTTGTGAGTTAGTCCATTTTCATTTATTGAAGATTATGGGTCAAAATATCAATAACAGTGATCATGATAAAGAATGTGAACCAAGATGTAGTAGTAAAAAAAAATTAAACAGTTTATGTTAGTCTCGGTCAACGTCAACCTTGAATACAAAAATTTAATTAAATGTGTCAACTAAATAGTCAAATGGTTGTTTTTTTATCTCGCTGAAAGACTTTTATATTCATTTCGCCGCAGCAATACGTTAGCTATTTTGTTATCATAGTAGTATTGCGAAAGTTTTTCCCAGACAATACTGAGGAACTTGAAGACTAGCCATTATATCTAGTATTTTTTCACAATGCTCTAAATTTATTTCATGACACAATTAAGAGTGGTCTAAGAAGTAACCTGAAGCAAATAATTGAGGATAAATTCATTGGTTTCCAGACTTCTAATGTGTTAAAGTGTTTTGACGATAACAAACAGGCAATGACTGTGACACAATTCATAAATTGGTACAGTAATGTGTTGCAGTATACCATACACGCCTAAAGTATGGAATAAATTCAGTAAAAACGAAACAAATTTTTTTTGGGAAAAATCCTCGAACAGGTCGATTTTTAATTTAAAAAATACATATTTTAAACTTAAAGTTCAAAGTGTACGTTAATATACCACCTAATTTCGAAGAACTCCAAAATTGTATTATAGATGAAGTACACAGAGTTATCCCAGAAATAATTCATAATGTGCAAGAAGAATTTCTACACAGACTTGCGTATTGTCAAGAAGTCGGTGGGTGGCAATTCGAACACTTAATTTAGGTAGAAAACTTAATGAATTGTATTTGCTTGACATAGGAATTGTTATTTTTTTAATGCATGATTGATTTTAAAAAAGTTGTAAAATGTATAAAGCGAAATGCTTGCCTATCATTTTAATATAAAATACAAGAAGTTTTAATCCAAGTAAGCAGCACAAATTAAACCAGCGGATTTGCGTTGTTTGCGTGGAATAAAACTTGTTGTATTTTGAACTAAAATGATAGGCAAGCAATTTTCATTGTATTCCTTGGTGATGTACTTCATTCTTATATTTTTGAATTTTTGCAGTCACCAATCGATTTTCTGCTGCAATCGAGAGCATTGCTCAGTGCATTTTACAATGCGTTTTTAATATTATTAAATACTTTTTCCTAAGAAACTTACTTTACTACCTACTTACTAGGTTGTTACATGAAAGTCGTCTATTTAGTCGATGTTAAGAGAGATTTTTGTTAATTTTCAAAGTTTATTTGCATTGTTTGTTACATAAAGGTTTTTTCAATTCATGTAAGTTTAGAGATTCCATTGATTCTTGAAAAAGAATAACTTTAACATAAAGACTGAGTGATTTTAAGTCTGGTTAGTCTGACTCCAAGTCTGATTAGTTAGAGTGATTAGATTAGCTAAGTGTATACCGTAAAATATGTTGCTTTTTGTCTAAGTTTTGATTACATTGATTTTTGTCTAAATTTTGATTTGTTAATTTTTGTTTAAATTTTGATTTGTCGATTAAAGAGCTAATTTCTGTAAGATTTTCATATTTTTTATTTGTAACCCTCAATACTGAAATAATCCCGAAATCCCGGGATTATAGAAATAAGGGCCGAAATCAAATTCCCTAGTTACGAGTAAAAGTAAATTCTACAGATTTTTGCAGTGAGTTTTTTAAGTATGCACTTGATACCAAGAAAAAATGACAGTATCAACTAACTACAATTAGTTGTGAAGTTTTTTTTTAATTATTTAAAACAACATTGCTTTATGATGAATTTATAGTATTGTTTGATGCATCGCAATATGGGGAAATTAGAAATTTTTTTTTTGTTTGTTTAAATGGAAAAGCGATTTAATTTGTTTGTAATAAAAACAAATTAAGGTTTTTTTCTATTACCTATTTATAGTCATTTGTAAATTTATAGTATTACTTCATTTTATAAATGACTTTTTACATTTTTACGCAAGCGAAATGTTGAGTACCCATCTTTGATTCTTTGAATAAATATTATTTAGAATTAGCATCTCAATTTTTTTGTAGAAAATTTCTCTTTTTTGACAAAGTCGTATAAAAGTCATAAAGAACAGTTCCAACCCTACTATTAATAGACTGAAAACTGTAGATTACACAGATGCATTAGTTTGTATATGGCAAATATACACTGGATTCTTTTTTTAGGACACTAATAATTTGCTGCAATTTATGGCAAATAGCTTGCAAAGGACCAGATGGAAAAAACAATTGTGAATATGTTATTTTGTCAAACAGATTAGCTCCAGTTATTGATCTGTTGAACACAAGACTACAAGTAAGTACTGAAATTGTATTATATCAGCATAAAATATGTTTACCTTTATTGTGTTATAATTTGCATTACTTTTGAGCCTATATAACATGAAAAATAAGTTTTATTATTTTGAGTAGGCTTTAATCTTCCTTTCTTTTTGAAAAGACATTTCACTGCTTTACCAGGTACATGAAAACATATGTATGTTTGTGCCATTTTGAAAATGAATGTGGTTACATAACCCCAAACTTAGAGACAAACTTAGAGATGTGAACCACCGATATTTCCAAATGAATACTAAGAATGTTTAAAAAATTTGTGGATATTCTTGCCCATATTCCCTGATCAAAAATTGGCAAGCAGCTGCTTGTTTTCTTTAACACTTGTAGTTTGCAGTGCAGAGTAAAAGCAAGAGCCCATGTTTTTACTGCCCTAAAGTGTAATTTCAAATAGGTATATTCTTTTAACACGTCCGATGTCAATGGACAACCTGACTTATGTGTGAGAGCCTCATGCACTTTAAGGAACTCGAGACAACTTGTCCCGACTTGTCCCGACAAAATAATAGGACACTTCTAAGCACCCAGTAGCACCAGGGTGTTATCAATAGACCGTAGTACTGCAAATGGTGCTATTTAAGCAGCAAAAATTAAATTTGCAGTTAATTTTAAATAATTACAGAACACTAGCTTCAAGATTTTACATAAATAAATACTTTGGCATGTAGGTCTCTAAATGGCATGAGGGTGAAATGCATCGCCATTGAACGTGTTAAATAAATTTAACGTAATACAGTTTGTACAGATATACAGCGTGTCCCGGTGTAATGTCCGGAAGAGGGAAAAGTTTTTTATTTGCGGGTTTACGACAAAAAGTTACTCTTTGTAAAAACTCCTGCTTCTTCCAAAATGGTCAAAACTGTTAAAATATTTGTCATTTTTTATACAGGGTGTTCAGTATTTAGAAAAATATTGTTAGTCGCCAAGAGTGTAAAGTACCATTATTTTTTGACAATATCGAAAAATATTATCAGGAATGTCATTTAGGATCCACAGGGAATTAAAAATTTGAGGTTTCACTAATTTCTGCTGATTTTTTTTTTTAAACAAGGCGGGCACCTAATTTTGCGTGCTATAATAGAGAAATAGAGGAGTTTAAAATGACGGATACTGTGGCTATAACAAACAAATAAATAATGTTTACTATCTCCTGTCAATGTCACTTTGTGATTAATTAGGTAATATTTATTTGAGATTACAATGCTCGCACTCGAACAAAAAGTATTTATTGTTCAGTGCTATGGTTTGAGTGAAGAAATATCATTCGCGGCAGTTCAAAGACGATTTAATGAGAAATGGCCTGACATAATAGTCACAGATAAGACTATAAAATGGATTAAAAAAGAAAAGGGTAACAGCGGTTAACGAAGAAGAAAATGTAGAATTAGTGATGCATTCAATAAGAAATGCCCCAAAGACACCTTTACGAAAAAGAGCTTCAGAAATTGGAAACGTTAGTAAGTCTCGTTTACAAAGCTTATTAAAAAATAAAATAAAATACATCCTTATAAACCAAAGTTTGTCCATACACTAGAAGAAAGGTTGGAATTTTGTTTATGGGTGGCTGAACACCATCTCGGAAGCAAAAATTTTTCCCACTATTACTTTTTCGGATGAGGCGACTTTTCCCACGAACGGAATAGCTCTCAAAATTGTAGATACTGGGCTTCGGAAAATCCTAATTTTCGGATTAATTGTAGATGACAGTATTCAAAAAAAGTTAACGTTTGGTGTGCCGTTTCTTATTTTGGAATAGTTGGACCCTGTTTTTATATAGGGAAACATGAAACAGCATTCTTATTTGCAGTTACTAAGTACGTTTTTTTTAAACTACTTAAATGATATGACATTAGCACACCGAGAGAGAGTCAACAAGATCCATCTCATTCTACAATTATGGTTAGAGAATGGTTGGACCAACATTTTAAAGATCAATGGATAAGACGATTAGGTCCTGTTACATGACCTCCTAGAAGTCCTGATCTGACAATAATGGACTTTTATTTGTGGGGCAATCTAAAACAAAAAGTTTATGCTGAACTGCTTGGTAATAATGTGGACACTTTAAAAAACAGAATAAGAGAAACAATTGCTTCCTCTATACGAAATACGAAATGTCTATAGAGAATTTATTAGAAGAGCTGAAATTTGTGCAGAAATTGGAGGCAGTAAATTTGAGTAAAATTTATTTTTGTAAATTTAAATTACATTATTCCTTGTTTATGTAAATTTTCATATTATTAGCAATAAATTGATTTGTGTGTGAATGTGGATTGATGGCTTTGGTAGTACCAATTAGCCAGAGCTATTTCGGGATAAATTGACTTAATATAAAATAAAATTAAAGGAATTTATTATTGCATAAATTTTGCAAATATCAAATAAAGTGGTACATACAAATTAGCTGCCCGCATTGTTAATTTTTTTTTTAATTTTAACTCCCTGTGGATCCTAAATGACATCACATAAATCATCACGAATATTTTTCGATATTGTCAAAAATAACGGTACTTTATTCTTGGCGACTAACAATATTTTTGAAAATACTGAACACCGTGTATAAAAAATTACAAATATTTTAACAGTTTTGACCGTTTTGGAAAAATATTTTAGAAAGCCTAAACACAAAGGTCAATTTACGATTATTTAAATTTAGTCACATTTAAATATCCTCCAAAATGAAAAAATATCTAAATCTATATTTTGTAAACCTATATGTATATGTCTGCACAGCATTATTTGTTTAGTACATCACATTAAAATTTACTGTAGTCCACAAAATGTTAAAGATAAATTTAAATAGAGATAATTTAAATAATTTTTGGTCATTAATAAAAAATTTAATATTTGTGAATATTTCGAAAGATTTTAATTTCTTGAAAGTTTAACATCACTATCCAAATTTATTGTTTTATTTTAATTAATATTTTGCTATCCTTTTATTAGTAAAGTAATTTTTTCAAATTTGGTGTACCTGTACTTATTGTTGCACCCTTAAAATTTTGAAACTTTAAAAGATTTATAACTGCTATTGATTAAGCTAGATAAGATCATAACTTTGCAGTTTTCTATTTGAAACCTAATTTCTTATTATTAGGGATTACATAATTTACACAAAAAAACAATCAAATTTCTCAAAAACAAAAATCCAAAATTCAAAATTTCGCTAAAACCAAAAAATCTTAAAGTCAACAACAGAATAATAAAGTTGTAAAATAAAAAAAATTCTCACTTATAAAAAATATTTTAAATTTAACTTAAGTATAACATATGTACATACTGTTAGTTGAAAGTCAACATTGCTGTCGTTTCTACATTTTCTTCCAAACACCCGGTTCTTCTGTCCGTAATGACAATGTTGTAGGTGTTGAAAAATCGCTCCGCATCAACACCTCTTACAGGAATCGATAAAGTTTGAATTGCCGCTCTTGCAAAATTTAGATGAATATATTTAGTCGCCCATAAAACCTGAAGAATATCGAGTGTCTATTTTTATCTGCTGCATCTAAGAGTTGTCCATGATTGTGATTATATCCATCATTAAGTTCATTTCGAGGGATATTTTTAAAAAATAGAATTTTGGAAAAACTTATGACTAAGAAATCTTTCCTGAGCGACTGTGTGGCAATAGCTATAGAGGGACAAAACAGTGTACCAATGTGTTGCTAGGTGTCGTTTGTTGCATTAGATTTTATGGGAAGGATTAATTTATTCAAGTTCTCAGATTTTGCCAGAAGCGCATCACTTCGCGTTTATTTCCATATTTCGCTTTTATTCGCTTTTTTTCCGTAATTTCGCATTTATTCGCACTTATTTCGTAAATATGAAAATTACTTATCCCGACTTATTATTATTATTTTTAAATCACAATTTTTATAAACTAATTGATGTAATTATATTTTATTTGGAGAACTTTAACAATTCAGATCATCTGCTTGATTTATATTAAAAAATGTAACTTACCTAAGACATTGATCTCTAATTAGCAGAATGTATTAGAAAATATATTAACCATTTCTTAAGGCCCATTTGCATGGCTCGGAAAATGAAACGGACCAATCAAAGATTGCCTTCCCGTTCCGTTAATGTTAATCCCATGTGTTGTGGACTTATCCTAACAGTATGCGAGTAAATCATACATAAATCTGTACTATGTAACGCGACTAATTTTCATTCTATTTAATAGATGGCAGCAGTAGTATTAAAACCATTATTGTGGTTATGGTGATGAAATAAAAGGGACTTTAATTTTACTGTATATATTTTTAAATGTATTATAGGTCGATTTTGTTTTGGGAAGACAATTTTTAATATAAATTTAATATACTTAACTTTAACTCTCTAGACGGGGTTGACACTTCATCGAAAATTTCAAATTTCGCGAGAAGTTTTATTTTAATACAATATGTTGACTAATTTGTAAATAAATGTAATACTTTAAATTAATTCCTGCGTCTGTAATTTTTTGTGACGTCATAACTTTGCAATTACAATTAACAAATCGGTACAGTGATAGAACGATAGTTGCCGATAACAATTTGCAGATTTCCCCCGTTTACTTTGAAAGATACGGTGTTTGTTTACATATGTATAATCTTTGTCTTCTGCTTGTGAATTCGCTTTGAATATATTTAGTTACTGCTGCATTATCTGTAGTAGTGAAGTAGTTTTCAATTTTATGTTACACAGAGGAGTAACTAATCTACTTTGCATCTAAAGGTATGTATCCATCGCAAACATTTCGCACACACTTCGGCAAAAATTTTTGACCTGTTTACGAGGTGTACGAGAGCTGATCGCGAATAGGGTATGTAACTGTGTGGATATGAACCGTTCTACAACCCATGAAAATTTTAGTAAGCTCGACGTAAACAAAATGTTACACGAAGTTTTCGTAAATTTAACGTAACATTTTGCAAGAATTTATTGGGTGATCGCGAACTGTTCGCGAACGCCGGTGGA